CAGCTTGATCCTGTCTGCAGCCCTATGAGGTTGGTCCCATCATCAGTTGCTCATCATCCCCTCCTACTTAGAGATGAAGAAACTCGGGTTTACATGGGCAGATAGCTAGTAAGTGGCCGAGCTGGACCCACCATCATCGCCTGAGAGGTGCTCCAGTGACTCACACACTTGGAGCTTGTGTTGGCTCATCTGTCCTGCTGGCTGTGGTTCTTGCCAGCCCACCCATGAGTCCCAGTTTGGCACCTGCATCCCCAGTGTTCTTGGGGTGCTAGCTCTCCCCTAATCTCAATCAATGTGGTTTAGGTGAGGTAGGAAAGGAATTCTTAAACAGGACATAAAAGCACTAAACACAGAGGATAATTCAACTAAATCAAAGTTAATGTTTGTCCAGAAGCACTAAATAAAGTGAAATGATAAGCCACAAACTGGAAGACCTTAGCCACACATATAACCACAAACCATTAAGACACAGACAGTTAGTTGGGAAAATGACACAAACAGGTATTTCACAGACACGGAAACATGATGGCAACTAACTATATGCACAATTGCTCAAGCCCATTCATGACAGACGTGAAGATTAAGATCACAATGAAATACTCTTTTATACCTACTATATTCAAAGCAGTCTGATGGAACCAAGTGTTGGCAAGACCCTGGAGATATTCTCCTATGTTGTCCTTCTAAAAGTTTAGTTTTGCCTCTTATATTAAAGTCCTCAATCTATCTTGAATTAATTTGGAGGGGGGTGGGTTGTTAAATTCCATGTTTTTCTATATGAATAATCGATTGTCCTAGCACTTTTTACTGAATTGTCCCTTCTTTCCCCAGTGATCTGAAATGTCACTTCCCTCATAAACCATGTTTCCCTATGTGCATTTGTCTGTTTCTGTGATTTTTATTGTTTTATTAGTGTTTTTATCTGTCCCTACATGAATACACACTGTCCAAATAACTATACTTTTTTAACAAATCTCAATAACTTCTTTTTCTTCTTCACTAGGAATATTTTTACTTTTCTTGGACCTTTGCTCTTCCATATAAAATTTTAGTTTTTTTTAAGATTCATTCATTTATTTTAGTGAGAGAGAAAATGAGCAAGTGGTGGGGAGGGGCAGAGGGAGAGAGACAATCCTGAAGCAGGCGCCCCCCACTCAGCCCATGTCGAGCCCACTGAACATGGGCTCCATCCCAGGACCCTGAGATCATGACCTGAGCCGAAATCAAGAGTCAGCCACTCAACCCACTGAGCCACTCTGGTGCCCCTTCCATATAAATCTTAGAATCAGCTCATCATCTTCCTTGAAAAGCCTTGTTGGGATTTTGATTGGAACTGTTTTTGATTCTTTTTTTTTTTTTTTTTTGGAGATTTTATTTATTTGACGGAGAGAGAGAGAGCACAACCGGGGAGAGTGGCAGAGGGAGAGGGAGAAGCAGGCTCCCCACTGAGCGAGGAGCCCACTGACATGGGGCTGGATCCCAGGACCCTGGGATCATGACTGGAGCCGAAGGCAGTGGCTTAACCCACTGAGCCACCCAGGCGCCCCTCAATTTTTATTCTGAAGGCAGCATTTCTAACTTTTCATTATTGAGAATATTTGCCATAAGTTTTTGGTAGTTGCCTTTTAACTAATTAAGGAAGTTCTCTTCCTAGTTTCTATGAGTTACTACTATGAGGGACTGTTGAATTTTAAAATTTTGCAACCATTGAGATGACCTTATAGTTCCCCTTGAATATGTTGATGTGGTTAACTACAAGAATATATTTCCTAATGTTAAACTATCCTGGCATTCCTGGGATAAACCTATCTTGGGAAAGATGCATCATCCTTTTTATGTATTGCTGGACTTAATGTACTAATATTTTATTTAGGATTTTTACTTCCATGTTTCTGAGCGATTTAGGAGTAATATTTATCTGATCTTGCTTGGTATGGGATTTAGACTGGCATCATAGAGTGAGTTGGGATCTGCTCTCTCTTTTTCTATTTTCCGGAAGGGCTTACGAGAGAATAGTATGATCTATTCCTTGAAAGTTTAGACTTGCTTCTAGAACCATCAGGCTTAATATTTCCTTTGACTAAAAATTTTAACAATTTCTCTGATATTTATAAAATTTACGTTTTTTTAAGATTTTTTATTTTTTTATTTGACAGAGAGAGAGAGAGAGACAGTGAGAGAAGGAACACAAGCAGGGGGAGTGGGAGACGGAGAAGCAGGCTTCCCGCTGAGCAGGGAGCCCGATGCGGGGCTCGATCCCAGGACCCTGGGACCATGACCTGAGCCGAAGGCAGATGCTTAACGACTAAGCCACCCAGGCGCCCCCCATTTGAAAATTTCTGATATTTAACTGACGAGTTTAGTTATATTACTATGATTATTAGTATATCAAGACTTTTTTTTACTATCTTTTTTTAGGGGGAGGAGTCTCACTTTTTCTACATGTCTTTGGGTTGATTAGCATTTGGGTTTTTTATTGACTTACGTCATTTCCCCCGTTCTACTGGTTTGAAAGTTATACATGTTATTTGTATTATTTTAACGAATACCATTGACACTGTGCCATGCATAATTACAAAGGCCAAAGTTAATATCTTATTTTCCCTTCCCACCCCAAATGCAAAGGCATTGGAACCCTTTAATTTTGACCATCTCGTTCCTAATTTACTGTTGTCCCCTATTTTTGTTCTGACCTTGTTTAAACCTATAAATTATGATTATTCTTGTCATCGTTATTGTTTTGTACTGACAATTTTGTTGAGATTCACTCTATTTGCCCATTTCTTCACTCATTATTCCTCCTTTCACTGCTGTTCTTAATTGGGTTGTTTTTCTTCTTTCTGAGGTATATCTTAGAAGTTCAGTTAGTCAAATTTTCCAGTTGTAAATTCACTTATGTCACCCTCATTCCTGAAAGGCTGGGGATCTAATTCTCAGGTCTTTGGAGATACTCTTCAAATCTTTTAGCTTCCTATGTTGCCATTCAGAAATTTGCTGGCAATCTAATTCCTTCCTTTGAGAATGAGCTGTCTTTTTTTTTTTTTTTAATCTCTAGATGCTTTTAAGATCTTTTCTTTGTTTTTAGTATTCTGCAGTTTCACTGCAATATTTCTTGGTATGGATTTCCTATTATTTTTCCTGCTTGGGATATATTATGCTTCTTAAATCTGCAGAATTATATCTTTTTTCTGCTCTGGAAATTCTCACCCATTACTACCTCAAATATGGCCTCTCCTTTCTTCTCTCCTTCTTTGATGCTGCTTAAATGGATTTTAGATCTTCTCAGTCTATTCTACACATTTGTAAGGTCTTTCTTTTCATATTTTTCATGTCGTATCACTCTTTGTTGCATTCTGATTAATTTCTTCAGATCGGTCTTTCAAATCACTCTATTTGGTTAATTATGATCTATGAGAATCCTGAACAACTTTCTCTTTGACCCTGAAGCTCTGAGAACAATTTGATGAAACATGTCAAATGCAACTCTTGTAATCTGAATGATGAGGTAGTCAACATCTTAGAGAAAGATGCTCCAGTCCAAGCCAGGGAGATCGTCCTTAACTCTGAATGGATTCCAGCAGCCCTGACAGAGGCTGGTTTTACAAGGTGGCCTCAAAGATGTTCCTTTGCCACGTCTCTGAGGCTTCTTGTCCATGACCCATTCTTAAAATTCAGGACCCGCCCAACTCAGCCAGGTTCTGCCAGTCTGGAGGGTTTGGCAAGCAGTAGGCTGCCTACCAGTTCTGCCAGGCTGGAGGGGTGGATTTAAATACCAAGAGAGTCCTGCTGGGCACTAGTCCCACCTAGGTGTAGAATAAGAGGCAGAAAAGGAAGCCATGGGTTCAGGTTAGCAGAAGATATCAAGCCCCAACACCCCACCCCACATACTGTGCTCACCACATAGTAAGTGCTCTGTAAATATTTGTTAAATGAATGAATAAACACTTTGATGGAAGAAGTCCATAGAGCACTGTGGGCCCAAAAGGGACTTAAGGAAGGTTTCCTAGAGGAAGTGACATTTATTTTTTTTTATTTTTTATTTTTTTTAAGATTTTATTTATTTGACAGAGAGAGAGACAGCAAGAGAGGGAACACAAGCAGGGGAAGTGGGAGTGGGAGGAGAAGCAGGCTTCCCACCAAGCAGGGAGCCCAATGCGGGGCTCGATCCCACGACCCTGGGATCATGACCCGAGCGAAAGGCAGACGCTTAACCGATTGAGCCACCCAGGCGCCCCAGGAAGTGACATTTAAATTGAGGCATGGAAAAGAGGAAGTAGTCAGGCCAAGCAGAAAAGGAAGAGTTCCTGGTGGAGATGGAACAGCTCATGCAAAGGCCAAAGTGGTATAATTCAGCCTCGGTGCCCTGAACACTAGATGAGGCTGGAGTGGGAAACTGAGGCTAGATGCTCAAAAATCCGGGCTTTGTGACAGATAAGCTAGTCAAACAACACCGTTTGAATTTAATGGGTGATAACTTTTATGCTCCGCTCCTGATTTTTTTGCCTAATGAGGTTTAACTGTCCTTAAAAAGAAGAAATGACCATAGTGGGGATTTAACCAGTGGTGGCTTAAAGTCTTTCAACACTGCCATTTTGCCCCCAGAGTTGGAGCCAGGTGCAGGGTCTAAATCCCCAATTCTGTCCTTTATAGGCTGAACCCATGGGCAAGCTCCTCACCTTTCTTCTGAGAAAGGAAGCCCATCCCAATGCCCACCTTATAGGATTAAGAGACAACATGTGTAAGACAGCGTTGCTAAGCTTTCCTGTGAACCTGGGCCTGTCCCTCTGAGCCCTTTGAGAGCAGAGATCCAGCCAGAGTCACTTTGACGGCGCCGGCCCCACAGCACCAGGCACATAGTAGGTGCTCAGTAAACAATGAACCAATGCCTCGACGAACTCTGGCATCGAGTGGTGGAACTGTGGCTCCTTGGGTCCCCATCTCTTCCCCTCGCCGAGATTGCTCTTTAGGGGCGGGGCGGGGGGCGGGGCGGAGCGGCCTGTTCCGTCCTCTGCACTTGGCGCTGCGCGAATGCAGTAAGTGTTGGCCCTCTGGCCTGGGCTCTTGGATGCTTGGAGACAGGTTGCCGAGGTCTGGGTGTGCGAGGCGCTAATCTGCCCCTCCGGGTTTAACGCTGTGAGCGGCGGAGCCGAGGAGCTGAGGGTTCTCGTGCGGGATCAGCGGTAGACCCCACCAGGCAGCGGCGGAGCGGTGCGACGGACCGGGGCGGGCGGAGCCGGCTTTTCTGTCGGCTGACGCAGGCCGGCGCGCCGCGCCTTTAAGGCGTCCAGCAGAGCCCGGCTCCGGGAACTGAGCGGCGCGGGCACGAGCGCTGCTGCCGGCCGCGAGCGGGGCTGGGGCCCGAAGACGGGCGTCCGGATCCGGTGGCGCGACCCAGGCGCCTGAGGTCAGATGGAGTGTGCGCCGGCGGGGCGGGCCGGGGCGGGGGATGCGCACCTGAAAGGGGGGGTGGTGTCCGGGGTCTCTCCCTTCTGGCCCCGTGACCCATCCTCCACTTCTCGAGTCAGGGCTGCCTGGCCTCCCCGCAAGCGGCACGCGGGGCGAAATGGGTCGGGGACCTGCATCTCTCTTTCTACTCGGTTTCCTCGCTCCGGCATCAGCCCTTGCGCGCTCCCCTGCAGTGCCTGGACAGGTTTGACATTCCCGAATCCCAGGTGACCTCACTCCCCGGGCTGCCTACCGCCCTAAGCCCAGGGACAAGGTGAAGATGGGTCGGGGACCTGCACCCTCTTTCTACTCCGCCTCACGCCGCTGGCTCCGGCACCAGCCCCTGTGCGCCCCTCCTGGTGCCTGGATGGTTTGGAGGCTCCTGTACCCCCGTTCTAACCACTTACTGAGTTCGACCACCCAGCTAATGGCACCTACCCCCGTCCCGCCCCAGATATCTTCGCCCCTCGGGGCCTCCCCCAGCCAGTACCTACCCCCAGCAGCCTTTTAGCTCACCTGGGCCCCAATTACCTCAGCCTCATGCCCTCTCCTCCCGGCAACCCTGAGTTAGGATGCTGGTCCAACCACCCTGACAGCCCGGTGCTGCCCCACAACCGCCAGCATCCCCCGCCTACACCTTCGCTGCCTTCCTGGCAGCTTTGGAAATTGGGATTGTGTAACGCAGGCTGCAGGGCAGAGCACATGCAAGATTTGCACCCCTGTCCCCGCATTCGAGTGGAGGAGGCCAAGTTGACAGAGTGAATGAAATAGGGAAGGAGGAAGAGGTTGAGGGGAGGGTCTAGAGGCTGTGCAATCTGGGATATGTACCTGGAGACCTTCTTATACCTCAGAGTCTGATTGATTAAGAAGAGGTCTCAACTTGGACTGGAGGTCAGCATTTGTCTCACCTCTCCCTCATGGCTAGTCTACCTGGCTGGAAGCTAAGATTTTATTATAAGTAATAGCTGACATAGAATAAGCAAGTACTGGCTGCCAGATCCTGTCCTGGCGCCTTTAGATTACCTGCTTTACTTCTCCCAACAGCGCCATGCGGGAGGTAGGTACTGATGTTATGCCCATTTCTCAGAGGAAGAATGTGTCCCCTTGCCAGGACACACAGGGAATCTGACATCAAAGCCCCCGATTCTGAATCACTAGACTTAATCTTTACCCAATTGTAGCTAATAAATTCTTATCAACATTTTTATAATATAGGAAGTTAGAAATAAGATAAATCAATAACCTATGTTCATAGCACCAATTTTTCTAAAAGTAGGTTCTCAGACCAACAGAGGGTCCTGGGTGTCCCCCTAAAGGAGACTGATGCCCAAAGAGAAGGAATGTGCTGGAGGCCACACAGCTAAGAAGTACCAGGGTTGGTATGCTAAACATGTCCTGGGTTGCTCAGTCGTTACTTCCTGGGCTCCCGGTTCTGCCCCAACCCATCAGCCTAGGCCCCTGGAGATTCTCTTCCAACCCCCCTCCCTGTTTGCCTCCTGATTTTCCCCTTCCCCCTCTGCTTCCTTTGCTATAACCCAGGCAGGTGAGCTGCTGCCTTTGCTTAGGCTGTCCTCTCCTTTAGGAATGCCCTACCTGGAATCTCTGATGTCTCAACCTTACCTACCCTTTAGCTCCAGCTCAGCGGTCCCCTCCAGGAATGCCCCTCTGATTCTTCCCTGCCCCCAACTGAAAGCAATTCCTTTCTCCCCTGGGATCCTTACCTTCCACCCACATGATGGCATTTGGAAAGTTCTATCTGCATGTATCTGCTTATGCTTTCTGGTGCATCTGTGCTGGCAGGATCAGAAGCACTCCCCAAGACCCCTCTAACCATCTGCCTGGTGAAGCGCCAGGACAAAGAGAGAGAGATAGAGGTCCATGGGGGTATGGTGTGGTTTCTGAAGTAAGGATAGGTTCAGAATTTCTGAATGCCGCAACACCAGACTCCCTTCATTGAGCTACGGCCTGGTCATGGGAGAATGGCTCAGCATGGTACCTAACATTATAATTACATGTTTGTTTTTGCTCATAACCCAGAGGATTCCCACCAGAAAATCAGAGAGGCTTGGGTCCTAATTCCACTGCTGCCACTGCTAGCTGTGTGGCCATGGGCCTGTTACCTAACCTCTCTGAGCCTTAACTTCTGGTAATGGTAAAGTACAAGGCCCAGCAGGTGGTGAGCACTCAGTAAGCACCGGCTCTTATGAAGAGTCAGGGTTGACCCCCACTTTGAATTACTGGAGACATATTAAAATCACTACTAAATGACTCACACTGACTCTGCTTAGAGGTGGGCCAAAGGAATCCCAGCCAAGGAGAGGAAAACATTTTTTAAAAAAGATTTTAAGTCTCTACATCCAGCGTGGGGATTGAACCCACAACCCCTCGATCAAGAGTCGCACACTCCACCAGCTGAGCCACGTAGGTGCCCTGAGGTAAGCATTTTGTGTGTGTACTCAGAAAGGCCTGTGATGCTTTCTTAGACTCTAAACCATCCATTGCCTTGGCAGAAAGAATTGCCTTTCTGTTTTTTAGCTTTAAAAAAAATCTATGAGCTTTGAGTTCTGTGAGGCTCCACACACCTAGAATGAGTGTGTGAATGCAGTTCATGAAATTGTAAGTAATTGTGAAACTTACTGATATGAGAAAAAAAAAGCTTGTTCTTAGAGGTGACCTTGGTTTGCCCTGTGTGTTGGTTCAGGCTTGTCTTGGGAGCGAGAGGTTTGAATCAAAGGTTTACTTTGGATTTGGAGGGAAGGAAAGCTGGGGTGAGTGTTTTTCCCTAGTACGCTAGTAAGCAGCTCAGAGTAGAAATCAACTTCCTATGTCATATTCTTTACCAACTCCTGGTTATTTTGGTGATTAGATCACTTTTTACAGTGATGAGTGCTTCAAAAGTAAAGGGCCAGGAATGTCTCCCTCAAAGCTAAGTGTTTGGAATATGTGGGGAAGCCAGCTCTGCAGGTTGAAAAAATATATATTTTAAAATTCTAATTTGATCATTAGGGTAAGTTAGGTTTCCATTTGATCATTTTAAGACTGTTGAATTTAGACATTCTAAGACATATATTTTTGTAAATTTTCATGGTTCTGTGGCATTTAGCAGGCTACGGGACTTTATTTTTGTGACCCCGCAGGGACACAAATATTTTTCATGCTATTAATATGGTGGCCATCAAATTCAAATTAAATAATTTGAAATTCTCTTCTTAAGTCACACTGGCCATATTTCAAGTGGTCGATAGCCATGGGTGGCCAGTGGCTACTGTATTAGGGAGAGCAGATAGAGAACATTTCCATCTTCCCAGAAAGGTTTATGGGAAGGCACTGTTTAGATCAATAAAGCCATGGGCAAACTGCATGATTATGGGGTTAAGTTCCATTCTTTCTAGCAAGTCATCTGCAGGCCAAGAAATGGAGTGTGCCGAGGATGTTTCGTTGTCAAGAATGAGGTTGTTACTTAAATCCCCTTAGCTTCATTTTGGTTTTCTGGTTCACTGGCTTTTAACACTGCCAGATTCAAAGGATGGGGGAGATGGAAGCACATGGAATGTCTTCCGGCAATGCTTCTCCATCCTGGCTGCATGTTAGAACTGCCTAGGGAATTTTTAAAAAGTATCCATGTCCTGCCTCTGCCCCAAGCCCAGTGAATCTGAATCTCGGGGGGTGGTGTCCCGGAATCTGTATTTTTAAACTGCTCCCTGGGAGATTCTGCGTGGCCAGGGTTGAGAACAACTGCCTTCTAGACCGTGCAGTTAGAAAAAAAAAAAATCCCTGAGGACTGGAAGACGTCGTTTTAAGGCAGATGCGGTGAGTGGCTAAGAATGTTCCTCATTGATTTACTGCAGCCATAAATCCAGGGTTGGAGTTGAGTGGGCTCACTTCCTCCAGACGGGCTCTCAACTGAGGGCAGCTTTGCCCCCCGGGTGCATTTGGCAACGTCTAGAGACATTTTTGCTTGTCACAACTTAGGGGTGGCATCGAGTGGGTAGGGGCCCCCGGATGCTGCTAAATATCCTACAGTGTATAGGACAGCCCCCCACAACAAAGAACTAGGGAGCCCAGAATGTCTGTTGTGCCACAGTTGAGAAACCCTGATCTAGATGCAATTTTTGCAAACCCAAGTCCTCTCTGACCTTGGATGTAGTTGTCTCTTCAAAGAAGATCAGGATATTCTCCTACACTGGGCCCTCGGAAACCCTGTTGATCATCTTCCACGCTTTCCAAACCCAGAAGCCACGGAGGGGGTCGCTGCCTGTATTTGGATGCATTTGGGGCTGCAACGAGGAAACTGCTGATTCAGGGGGACAGGGCAGCCTGCGAAGGTGTGGGCAGAGGTTCTTACACTGCTGCAGGTTGGGATCCTATTCTTTTTGTTAATTATCTAAAGTAACAGCAGCCTTTGCCTTAGGCTGTTTTCCCGAGGCTATGGCTCTGTGGCTCTTGGCATTGGGTGTTTGCCTTGTGATATACTCAGAACAAGAATTAAGCCTTGTATGTGATAAAATTTGGCAACAGAGCTAGGGGGGCCAGACTCTGGGAGTATAAAGATAGCAACACAGACATGCCCATAGCCTCAAGCGTCTGAGAGCCCCAGGCACGGTGGCACTGCAGGGGAGGGAGGGGTGGAGGTGTGGCAGGGCTCCCTCCCTGGGCCTGCAAGGGCCGGTGAGATCTTCCCAGCTGTCCAGAGTGAGCACTTGGTATGCACCAGGCACTGCGTTGAGCAATTTCCATGCACCCTCTCATTTCGTCCTTTTACCAAGGCCCTAAGAGGTAAAGTGACTTTGCCAAGGTCACACAGCAGGTCAGTAACAGAGCAGAGATTTGAACCCGGGTTACAGAACTGCAAAACTGAATCCTCAGAGGAGCATTTACGGACTGGGGCTGTGCTTCATGGCCAAGACTTGTGGAATGAGCTGGAGCTCACCAGGCAGGAGGGAGAAAAGGCATGCGAGGGAGAATACCATGTGTGCCAAAGGCTTGGAGGTGTGAAAGAGTATGACATATCAGGGATTGTGGCTCACTGAAGGAAAGAGGTGGGTGATAGAAGAGGATAATGCTTGAGAGACAGGTGGGTATTATATCCTATCCTCCGGAGCCTTGTAAATCATGCTGAAGGCCACTGTGAGCCACTGGTGGACTGGAGGCAGAGAAGAGCTGTGTGACATTGGACAACTTGCTCAACTTCTCTGGGTCCCAACTGCCCATCTGGAGAAGGCCTCTAAGACTCCGCGCTCTGATGAATGTTCATTTTGTTGGTGACCATCATGAACAAAGTGAAGGAACGGCCTGCGGTGGCCCTAGTGGGCAGCCCTGTTGATTCCTGACCTCCTAGCTTATCATTTGGTATTGACTAAGTGCCCTCCGAGGGTAAGGCACGGTGTGTCCTCAAGTGATGTGGCAGATGCAGAGATGTAGTAAGACTTGTCTTGGAGATTTGCAGCCTAGTGGAGGGTACAGCTGGTGTTCTCACGGGTCCCGTGCTTAAAGGCACAAATCACCAGCACCACGAGAGAGAAGCATCCCTACAAAATATCTGAGGCATGGAGGTTACAAATGGAGGGGGGGACTGCTGAGGGAAGGTACACTGAAGGAGATAACTCCTAGCTCTGCCAGAAAGACTTGTAAGGGAGAATATAGGGGTAGGTCAAGGGTATCCTCCAGGGAGAGAGAGCAGGGGAAATGGAGAGAAATAAAAAGCCAGTTCAGGTACAGTCCCCAGAGGGTCAGACTATCAGCATCTCTGGTGTCTGATTCCCCACAGTTTCCAGGTCACAGAGGGGAAGCAGAAGTCATCATTGCAGGAAGATACTCAGTAATGGTCTTGCCACTTAGAAACTGAGGTCTGACGCCATCCTCCCTCCCTCTGTTTTCAACCCTGTTGTCTAGCCGGGCTCCAGGAGCATCCATGTCTTGGTCATCTGTCTCTCCCAGCTCCTAGGACGTTTTGCAAATAGGTACAGGACAAAGAGTGGAAAATGAAATTGTAACTCTTGTGGGAGAGGCAGGATTTCGTGAAATCAAAGCAAGCGATATTGGAGACTGCTTAAATGACATGTCAAGGCAGTAATAGATGAGGATCTGGCAACGTGAGACCCGATGAAGAGAAGGGGGAAAAATGAATTCAAAAATCAATTCTTTGAAAATCAAAGAATTAAGCCCTTGAGAGATCAATAAGGTATGTTTGTAAAAATAGCACTGTGATAACCAAATGCTAACCAGAAGGATTCATCATACTCTAAGACAGTCCACGTGAGACTTAATTCTTTGTTCTAAGACTTAGCACAGGATTGCTGTTATGACCTCATTTTCATTTTGTTCAATATTTACTCTTGCTTTTTAAAATACATTTGATTTTTTGGGTTTTTTTATTTGGATTAAGTTCTAAACCAAACTGTGTTTTTTTTCTCAACTGTGAACTTTCCCATGTGGCTTCACCGCAGGTCCCTTTTTCAGATGCTAATTCTCCGGGGTCACAGAGATCTCCTCTGGGAGGAGACTCTGCTAGATAGAAGGTGGGGACCAGCTCACAAAGGACCCTGAATGCTGAGCCTCTGCTGGGAGCCAGAAATCTTGTCCTGATAAAAAACCTCCGGGCTCTTACTAACAGAGCTCCCTTCTGTCTAAGGCCGACTTTGTTCCTGCAGTTAGAAAATGCTACCGACCAACTTCACTTCCTTTAGAAATGACAAAACCCTCTTTAATCTCCTTGCTTTTCCTTTTATTGGTGAAGCACAGATTCAGCAATGGGAGACTGTGTTTTGGGTGCTGAGGTTCTATTTTAGGCCCTGTGCCATTGCGTACCCATATAGAGGGCTATTTTAATTCCTTTCAGTCATGTGGAAAATAATCACTTAAGTGATGCTCTTTCTAGCACTTTACCTTTGAGAGGTGACCTCGGCTGATGACAGTGCATGCATCCGCACTAATCCGCAGGCCAAATGCTGGAATCAAAGCCACGTCTGGGCTCCCTGAGAGCCTGAAGACGTTGGGGTCTTCGGAAGTGAAAGGTCAAGTGACTTTGGCGCTTTTTTGATCCAGCAGGAAGATTGGCTTGTATTTCTGGAGGGTTTTCTTGTTTTCAACATGATTTCAAGCAGGCAGTTAGGTCAGACTGTCATCAGCCTAGATCTTGACACCCCCCCACCCCGACCCAGGCTGATATTTTGAAGGTGCTCATCTAGGTCAGGTCACATGTTATGTATTTTATTGCCTTGTTTCTTGGCCAATACAATTTTTTAGAAGACATGCTGCCAGATACATAAGCCACTTACCTTCCAGCTGAGCCCCTGATTCAGCTGCCTGCCCCCCCACCCCACCCCGTGTCCTTTCTCCAGGGAATTGGGTAGGAGGATTATCTGGTTATCTGGTTCTCTAATTCTCTGCCTACAGGACCAGCCTGGCCAAGCTGAGTTTCCTTGCCCACAGAGCTGCCCCAGGTGGTAGAAGCAAAGGAAAGGGGCTATGGGCTTGGCTGGTTCTTAAGCAAGAATCCCCAGGGGGAACCAGTTGCTAGCACTTTGGCACCAAGTGGGACCAAGGTACCTTGGTCTTATCAGTACCTCTCCCAGATTATGCATTTCCAGTTTGTGCACACATATGGTTGCAGAATGGAAATCCTTATCTTCTTAGAGTGCTGGACTTTGACCTTAGAGGACTGAAGTTCAGATCAAACTGACTTAACCTTTGGGTAGTCACACAGGGCAGGAACCCTCCCCGGTCTTTGTTATCTTAGTAGGCGTAGGCGGCCTGGCCTTTTAGCTTGTGTAGAGGGAGAGGGATTTGTAGGCTAGCAGCCTTCACATTTGTAGTTCTTCGCTTATCATGCGAAACAATTAAGGTTTGGTTTTTGCTTGCTCACATGAGCCATTTTAACTAACATAGAGTCCAGGACTGCCAGTTGAACTCTTTGTGATGATGAAAATGAGCTCTATGTCTGCTGCCCAGTCTGGTAGCCACTAGCTACCTGTGGCTCTTGAGCACGTGAAATGTGGCTGGTGCAGCCGAGGTACTGAATTTTACATTTTATTTAATTTCAATCGATTTAAACAGTCACATGTCGCTAGCGGCTACTGTCTTGGACAATGGGGATAGACCATTCTATGTGAGGATTTTATATTTTGTAATTAAATAGAGAAAACCTTATACACGCACATAGTAGCAATGCAAAAGATACAAAAGGGTATCAAGTGACAAGTCTCATTTCTGTCTCTGGTCCCCCTGTTTCCCTTCCCAATGGCAGCCCTGATAACCAGTTTCTTGTGGTTATCTTATGGTCCAGAAACATTTCATACATATAGAACCATATTTCTTTCTCTTTCTCCGTTCCTCCTCTCTTTCTCTCCTCTATTCCTTTAATGCAAGAGGTGTTATTCTACCACTCTCTATTGTTTCTGGGGTTTTGTTTGTTTGTTTTAGAGGCAGGGAGGGGTAGAGGGAGAGAATCTTAAGCAGCTTGTCTCCACACCAGCACCGAGCTCAGAGCCGAAAATCAGAAAGAGTTGGACGCTCAACCGACTGAGCCACCCAAGTGGCCCCGTTCCTTGTTTTTTGAGTTAACAACGATCCTTGGAGGTCATTATTTTATGGCTTACATTTAATTTTATTTGTATTTAATGGCTATACATAATAGTCCTTTATAAAGTTATACCATCATTTACTTAACAGGCCCCCTTAGAAGTGAGCATATGAGTTAATTCCAGTCTTTTGATAAATACTACTGTAACAAATAACTTGCGCAAGCATGATTTCACATGTTAGGTATAAACACACACTCTTAGAAGTGAGACGATCAAGTTGAAGGAATGTATGCTTTACATTGCCTCAGATTTTTACCAGATTGCCATCCATAGATAGAGCTTGTTGATGGGACTAGAAGTTGGTGCCTGTTCCAGCCTCAGCGACAGTCTGTTAGTGAACTTTTTGTTCTTTGCCAGTACAATAAATCACGATTGCCATTACCTTGTAGATTTAATCTGCGTTTCTCTTATTATAAATGAGATTGAGGGTCTTTTTATATATTCAGGAGTCATTTCCTTTCTGGTAAATTGGCTACTCAGATCATTTGCCCATTATTCTATTGGATTTCGTTGTGGTTTTAATTGATTTGTAGGAACCTTTTATACATTCGGGAAATTAGTCTGTTTCCTCTGATTTATATTGACAGATCTTAATCTTGTTCATGGTCTCTCTTTCCCTGTGGACATTTGAAAATATTTTATGCGGTGAATGTATTAATCTTTTTGTTATGGCCTCTGCGTCTTGTATCTGACTTAGACCTTCCCCATGGAGGTATTTTCAAACAGGTCTCATGTTTTCTTCTAGAACCTCCATGGTCCCACGGTTCCTCACTGACTCCTCTGAAATAGTTCAGGGGTTTTGTGGATTTTACCTTCCCTCGCCTGGCTCCTCATTCTCCCGCCGTGGTGCCTTTGCCAGTGGCTTTCTGTCCAGCCCTGGGCTTGAGCTGTGGGGTGCCCTCTCACTAGCCACTCGGGGAGAAACAGGATCCTCATTTGTCCACTGGTTGCCACCTTCTTCTCATTCCCTTATCTCTTTTTAAAATTTTTTAAAAAAACTTTTAAGTAATCTCTACACCCAACATGGGGCTCAAACTCACAACCCTGAGATCAAGAGTTGTGTGCTCTACCGACTGAGCCAGCCAGGCGCCCCTTCTCATTCCTTTCTGAGTACAACTTTGAGGTAAACCCTAATCCCAAATGGAGAGGGTGAGAGTCAATCTTTAGGTGGGGGTCTTAGTTACATTTGTAGGTCCCAGAGTCCCCTTTTGCCTCAGTATGCCTGATAACCCCTACCCCCCTGGTTGCCTTTCACCCCACGGCAGCCCAGGAATCACCAGGTCACTCCCTGTTTTGTCCTCTCACTGCAGATCTCTTCTATGACCTTCTGCATGCCTTCCTAGGCCCGGCTCATTACCTGACATACCCTTTCCTTTGTGCGGGTTGCTTAATTGGGATGGGTGACTTGAACAAGAGGTGGCTATAAAGCCGCAGGATATTTGTACTCTTGCCTGTGCCGAGGAGGAGAGCGCTCCGCCTCCAGCGAAGGCAGCAGTTTTGTGGCTGTTGGCACTTCATTCATATTCTCTAATATGATTTAATGCTTTGTCATTTTCTTTCTTGTGATTCCAGAATCTCATTCTCAGCTTCTGCCAGAGCCAGTAGCAGTTGGGAAAGAAGGCTGTGTTCTTTGAAGAGTGAGTATGGATTTTTAACACTGTTGATTACAAAAAAAAAAAAAAAGCAGCCCTCAATGAGCTTGGGGCTCCTCTGTAAGCTTCCCCCAAACCCCTCTCCGGGCCAGCTTGTGGTGGGTGATTTCTCTGGTTCAGTTGGTTTGGTGGGGAAGGGTGTGGGCACCTGAAAGTCACCTACACGCCCCAAAGCCCCCTATGGACAGTTCTCAAAGCCTGTGCCAGGAGAAAGGCTCTGAGTTTGAAGGGAGTCTTTCGGAAGATCTGAGCCTCTGGGAAGGAAACAGGATGCTTTCCTGGTGAGTGTGGTGCTTGAATTAGCCCCAAAGGCGGAGAGGAGTTCATCTAGCAGCCAGGACATGGTTGTGCTCCACACGAAGGGAACAGCCTGAGGAAAGACAGAGCGTGAGGCTGTGCGGGGCGGCATGGGGACGGGAGTTGGTCATTCGGGGTGCAGGCAGCGATGTGGGAGTTGGTCCAGGAAGCTGGGTTGGGATTGTATTGAATGGTTCGAGTTCACATTCGACCAGGGCAGCCTAATGTATGGGTGGGAGTTGTGAAGATTCCCCTGGCAACTAGTGTTAGGGCTGAGACAGAAGGGGAGCAAGAAGAAATGAGGACCTGGACCCAGCGTGGTGGCTGAGGTAGCTGTGGTCTGACTCACACTTGCTGGGAATTTGTCTTCCTTCCCGACAGTCCTAGGATGTGTTGGACATCAGCCTCAGGAATTGGTGGCAAGAGGCTTTCAGGGGTATAAACCCCCTAAAACTATGCTCCTCTTCCTGTGTGGCCCTACCATGCACTTAAAATGTGACATGTAATAAAATCTTAAAAAAAAAAAAAAAAAATGTGACATGTGACTGAAGCACTGAACTCTGAATTTTATTTAATTAAATTTAAATAGTCATGTATTGAACAGCCTCGTTTGTCTAGACTCACACAAGTTGGCTCCAGTGCTGGTGCCTCTCTTGCAGAACAGGAGTGGGAAGAGTGAAAGGTATATCGGCCTCTGGGAGCTAGACTGATGGGGAGACTGTCGGCAGAAATGAACGAGAAGGGGGAGAGATGTGTCTGGGACATGGTAAGACTGTTGAGTCATGCAGGTGGTCAGGCAGGCTTTTTAGAAAAATCTGGAAGGGGGTTGTGGCCAGGCACGTTGAGTTCTGAATTTCCTGAAGGAGGGAATGGTGGAGGATGTAGGGATGGAGAGCTTTCCAAGGAAGACTGTGAGGAGAGCATGCTAGGAAGCTCAGGAGAGAGAGGAGAGCATCATGGGAGTATCAATGAGGAGAGAGAGGATAGCATCTCAGGATCCAGGTCAGGTGTGCTCATTTCAACAGCAGGGCCGTCAGGGGCACTTGGCTGGCTCAGTCAGTAGAGTGTGTAACTCTTGATCTCAGGGTCATAGTTGAAGCCCCACATTGGACATGGAGCCTACTTTAAAAAAAAAATTAATTAATCACCAACAGGGCTGTCAGAGCTGCAAAGCACAGAGGAGGAAAGGGCTCAACCAGACTGAGGTGAGGACAGTAAGACAAGAGTTGGGCACCTCGCAGCAGTAATCCTTGGGGCCATGCCACACTTTCAGTGATGACTGAGCAAGCTTAACTGCTTATTTGGAAATTTCAGTGTGATTTTCTTCCATGATGGAGATGATAAGAAGTTAGAACTGCACATTTCTTGAGGTGCCTGGCTGACTCAGTCAGAAGAGCATTTGACTGTTGATTGTGTGGTCGTGAGTTCGAGCCCCACGTTGGGTGTAGAGATTACGAATTAAAAAAAAAAAGAACTTCCCATTTCTTGAATTATTATCTCATCAAGTCCTGGGGCTTCCACATACGAGAATCTTACCATCTTTGTATTTTTTCCAGCTGTTAATCATTAGTGATAGTTTTGAGGGATTGGTTTATCTTGACAAGAACCTAGTTTCAAAAAGCAGTGTTGGGTGGGTGCAACAATATTTATAATATTTAAGGGCTTGGATATTATACTCAGATTTTAGGAACCTAGCGTTTTCCTTGTGGAAAACACTGTAGGAAGAATTTTCGGCATCCAGTAGTTACTCCATAGATGGAGGTTGTGACTCTTACGTCTTTGGCTGTGGTGGTGGTGGTCCTGGTTATTATCGTTGCTACCATTGTTATAGTAATCATTATTTTGAAGAGACCAGGACTTAAGTCTGTCAGATATGATGGTATATGGGTAAGATATCTAGGGAAAGGCAAGATTCTTTGAAAATGTTTCACATTCTATTTTTTCTTAGAATTTTGAATTATACCCTAAGATGAAGGTACTGGAACTCAGGATTCCCAGTTTTCCAAAATCAGTGAGTACATGGAAAGACCATCGTGATGCATTATGCCTTATTCCCCTCCCCCCCCAGACTAGGGACTTGGAGATGCCATGTGTATGTGGATCCACTGGTGTATCCTCTATCCAATTAGTCTTCACCCCTGTATTCAGAGATAATGGCCCCAAATGCACAGCTTGGACACTAACGGGAGGAGGCTGGGTGGCAGGCTCCAATCTGGGATGTGAGAGTGTGTTACTCTCCTTGGTGTCCCAACAGCCAGCTCTCTTCTTCCTAAAGTAGCTTCTCTTCACATTGTGCCATGAGGCCACGGAGATCATTGTCCTTAACCCTGGGATGCCTCGCTTTTACTCAGCAGATACGTAAAACGAGTGCATTTTTTCCCCCTCTTTTTCAATCTTCTTCAATAATTCGGGCAATATGCCTTATCAAGCCACAGATATTTGCCTGGTACTGTTTTAGGTTCTGGGAACATGCAACAAGGAATAAGATTCTTGAGGGGGGCAAACCAGATCCTCCTCTTTAATTGCCTGGCATCATTTCAGAAACATTTTAAGTCTTCAGAGTAGGAAAAGACCAAAGAGGTGATTTGGATGAATGTTCTTATTTAATGGGTTGAGGAAACCAAGCCCTTGCAGCTGGTGTGTGGAAGAGCCTGGTAGGAGAGAACCAGCTGGAATGTTCCACCTTCAGCCGGGTTGGGGCCCGGCCCTTACTCATGTGGATCCACCCCAGGGGCAGCCGTTGGTGTTTCACAATTACGATTTTTGCAAGACCGATATTTCGCCTAGTTCGCATTGTTCTTGAAATTGACTCCTTTAACTTAATTTTAAAAATTAATTTGCATCCCTACTATAAATTGGAAATCTCTCTCTACTTGCTAGACGGGATGCTGCTCCATTCATGAATGGCTTAATAAAGACAATTAGATCTTCAAAAAAGAAAGGAAGGAAGGAAGAAACTGTAAAATCAACACAAAGAAACCATGTTATTAAGTAGCTAGGGACTGTTGCTCGCGGGAGGGGAAGGCTTAGAGAGGTATCTAATAACACCGTACTGAGAGTTCCGTTGACCGAGGCAGAGCGGACAAAGAATGGGAAGCCGACTTCTCAGTATGGGTGTCAGTGTGATGTTACCCGGTTAGTGCTGTGGAGCCCTGAGCATTATTTAGTATCTTCCGGCTCCCTAATGTCATCTTGCAGGGCATCAGCTCTTTGGGCCCCATCCTTTGGCCAACTCCTTTTTCCACCCTATAGTTGATTTTCCATCATTGGTGGCTCCAGGTTCACAAGGGTTCCATTTTCCTGTCTCCAACCTCTCCTCTGGGTACATAGAGTATCTATAAACAGACCTCAGCAGGGTAGGAGAGCTGCCTTTTTAAAGGAAAGCTGGGGCAACTCCTTTTTCACATGAAGGATTATGGGACGCCTGGGTGGCTTAGTCGGTTAAGCGTCTGCCTTCGGCTCGGGTCATGATCCCACGGTCCTGGGATCGAGTCCTGCATTGGGCTCCCTGCTCAGCGGGGAGCCTGCTTCTTCCTCTACCTGCTGCTTCCCCTGTTTGTGCTCTCTCTCTCTGACAAATAAATAAATAAATAAATAAATAAATAAATAAATAAAATCTTTAAATAAATAAAATGAAGGATGATGCAGAGGTAGGGATAGTCACCTACTGCTTATGCATACAGAAAACTCGGGGCGCCTGGCTGGCTCAGTGAGCAGACCATGCACCTCTTGATCTCGAGGTTCTGAGTTTGAGCCCCATGTTGGATGTAGAGAATACTTAAAAATAAAATCTTTTAAGCATTTTTTTTTAAGATTTTATTTATTTTTTGACAGAGAGAGAGAAAGAGCAAGAGAGGGAACACAAGCAGGGGGAGTGGGAGAGGGAGAAGCAGGCTTCCCGCTGAGCAGGGAGCCCGATGCGGGGCTCGATCCCAGGACCCTGGGATCATGACCTGAGCCGAAGGCAGATGCTTAACGACTGAGCCACCCAGGCGCCCCTTAAAAATAAAATCTTAAAGAAGAAAGCGTTAGTTTCTTCGTCCAGGGCCGGTCTTCATTTGACCCGGTCAGGGAAAGTACGCAGGCTTCTCTGTCATACGTCCCAGCCTTGCTAAATCAATCATGCTGTGCGAAAGCTCCTCATTGAAGACTTCATTCTGCAATGAAACAGAGGGTGGCTCCAGATGAAACCTTCCCCCAGACTGGTTGGGACATCCATAGCAGGTGTTGACAAAGCCGTTAAATCTCTTTTTGAGGATTATACCTTCACCTTGGGGCCACTGTCTCCAGTGTCAGGGCCTGTGATGTCATGGCCTGTGATGTCCTGGCCTTAGGCATAAAATGCTCTAGTTCCTCATCCAAAGGAGCATCATGTAATTAACTTCCTGCAGCTCAGACATCGGAATTTATGGTAACCCTCAGCAGTTTTTAAGGACTTTGTGTAATGTGGGACAGTCCTCTTGAAGCTGACAGGTCCTGTTCTTGTCGACTCTTTTGTGACCCACAGTGTTCAAACAGATTTGTAAAGTTCTCTTCACTTCAAAAGTAATTTGCTTACCCCTTGACCCTGCGGCCGGTGACTCCTCCAGGGAGTTTTGTAATTACTGAAAGAAAAAGCCCTCTTACAACATCATTGGGAATAGTCGGGGTTGTCCGTAAAACAAAGAAGATTGAGCCCATTTTGTAACTTTGCTTTTTGTCCTGAGCTCTTCTTGGCACTGAGAAAGAACACAGACTACTGGCCGTACCAGCAAGGAGCTTTCTAGAAGGTGAAATAGGCCAGTGACTTAAGTGCGCCGGAACATGTTTATGGTGACTGAGATATTGAGAGGACAGTTAAATCAGAAGCACACACAGTGCTTCTGCCCCTGAGAAGACTTTCATTCCTACAGATTCAACAGTGTTCCCAGATAGAGTGTGTGTGACCCACCTATACGTGCATCTGTATCCCCCTGCCCCCCACCAAGGCTGTGAGGGGCTTGTTCACCAACCCCTTTGTAGGGGACAAAACATGTAAATGTGAGAAACTGATATTGCAATATATGTTAACTAACAAAATTTAAATTTAAAAAATTGTAAATGCAAATGTCCTATCTTCATGGAGAAATTAGGAATGACAACGAGTGTGAGTATTTAACAGCAAAGAGCTTACAAAGCTTGAAAAAAGGCCATTTGGGAAAAAAAAATTTAGAGAAAGTAGAGCTTGGTGCAAAGGGAGTGGGTCTAAGCAGAAACCTGTTTTGTAATCACGACTCTTCCGACTGAGTAACCTTGGGCAAGTTACTTAACCTCTCTGTGCCTTAGTTTTCTCAGCCTGTGGGACAGCATAAAACAGCCACCTTGTCTGTTGGACAGGACTCTGGTGTGCTATACCAAGCATTGATCACTTACAGCCTGCCGGCCAAATTCAGCCTGCAGCCTGTTTCTAATAAAGTCTTATTGGAATATGGTCACTTCCATCTATTACATGCTGGGTGTGACTGCTTTCTCAGTGCAGTGACAGATCGAGTAGTTGTGACAGACCCTATAGGGCGCCCAATGCCAAGATATTTATCATCTGGCCGCTGTGTTCAGTGACATCAGTGAGGTCATACTGTCACCATCATGAATTCATTATAAAATTGAAGTATGTATCAGTTGACAGAGGTATTATGGGAGAGATCTCTTCATTTCACAAGAAATATAAGGAAGGGCAGGATTTGCTGGGTATTAATGCATTTTCTGGAAGAAGTCTTTGTTTTGTTTGGTGAAATGTTGGTTTGTTCTTAGGCATCTGGGAATCTTCAGGTTGCAAAGCACCCCACCCCCACCCCCCGCTGCACAGGTCCTTGCAGGACTTATTTTCTTGATTAGAGAGGATGATGGGACTTGGAATATTTCTCATTCCATGAGAAAATGAACCGTGTTGTGAGCGCCTATGACAGGACAGAGTGGAGGCTATACTGATTCAACTGAGATCATGACCTGAGCCGAAATCAAGAGTCAGATGCCCAACCAACTGAGCCACCCAGGCGCCCCTGTCCTCTCTAACTTTTAATTTTTAAAAATTGCAAACTTACAAAAAAATTGGAAGAATACTTACTACTACCTTGTAACCTTCACCTGGATTCACCAGTGGTTAACGTTAATCATACTCGTTTTAATGTTCTCTCTTCTCCCCTCCTTGCCACATCTTTCCCCTCAATTTTTAAAAGTGAGCGGCAGAAACAAACACTGAGTAGCAGATATCACTATTCTTCACTGCTTAATGCTTCAGCAGACATCTCCTGGGAGGAAAGATATCCTCCTACATACAAATGTAACCACAATTTCATCCCTGCCCGCCCCCGCTCAAGAATTATGTCTCTGATCCAGTAATATCATCTCATATCTGGTCCTTACTCAGATTTCCCCATTGGCTTTAACAGTGTCCTTTATAGCTCAAAAAAATTCCAGGATCCTCTCAGGGATTCTTTGTTGTAGTTAGTTGTGCCAATTTAGATTTTTTAAGCACTTCTCCACCTTTATTCCCTCCTGACCTTTACTCTCATTCTGGGTCCTTCTGTCTCCCACTTTGCTTCTCCGCCTCTTCTCTTGAGACAGAGTTTCAGTGTTTACTCTCTTCAGCCCTGCAGGTGTCGGCCAGTCTTAAAGAGCAGGATGGATCTTGACGTGGTTAACATGTTTGTGATCGCGGGCGGGACACTGGCCATCCCAATCCTGGCATTTGTAGCCTCGTTTCTCCTGTGGCCTTCAGCGCTGATAAAAATCTATTACTGGTAAGTTAATTTTATACTTGAAGTATTCAGGAGTATCATAATAGCAGTGTTGTCTTCTCTGCTTGTCCTTTTGGTGGCGGTTTTTCAACATTTTATCGTGAAATATTTCAAACATACAGAAAAGTTGAAAGACATCCTGTCTTGAGTCTGGGGAGTGTTCTTGAAGAATTGGTGGTCGCTCCTCACTGGGTAAATTTCTTTCTGGTTTCTGATCGCATCTTTGCCTGGGAGGCCACCCTCACTCCCAGAGTCACTGGTTCTGTCTTCAGGCAAGGATTGTGCATGGTTACGGGAGCTCCTTTGGTATTTTCTTGGTGGTTGAATTCTGACCCGGTGACGTCCTGACAGGAGCGGTGATGTGCACTGAAAAATGAACTGGAAAGACCAGGGCCAAGGAGATGGCATGGGTGGGACAGAATGGGTTTTAGATTTGTTCTAAACGTGTTCATTAGTAAAGTGACAGAAAGAAAAAGAAGTTTCCAAAATTGTTATTCTTGTACCATCTTTATGAGTCTTGCTGTATCTGTAGAATAACTCTACTTTCCTTTTGTATTTTCTTTAGAGTAAGTCACTCTTTTTACCTTAAATCGATTTAAGAGTGATATAAATATTACTACCTTAAGCAGAAAATTTGTTTGCTGTACTTGCCGTAAATAGTAAATTAATACTAAAAAGTAAAAATGACCACAATGCCATTCAGCGGTGTTCTTAAATTCTAGTTTACCAAAGACTCTGTGTCTCCTTTCTCTTTGTTACAAAGTCCAGAGAGGTGTGAAAGAGGTAGCAGCCCCGAACAGAGCCTTCCTCATGTGTGGAATCAGAAGATTAACAGTTGAAAGGAGATTAGCTTTCTCACGATGTGCTTCAGTGACTTCATGCCATGGTCCATTTCCCAAATAAAATCACCCCTCATGCCCCACGGGGTGTGTCCCCTGGTGAAGGCAATCCCAAAATAGCCCTGGTTCCTCTCTGTGCCCCAGGGAGAAGGGAAGCACGTTGAGATTTAACCGGGACTCTGGCAGTTAGAACCGCCTTCTCTGCACGGAGGAAAGAACGCAGAGAGGTTGCATTCAGCTCGTGCCCTTTATCTGCTCTCCTTTCTGGCTCCCTTTTGTTTCATTAGAGTGTGGAATTTTCCACCTGCCAGCCAGGCTCTGCTCCTTGAAAAGAAGCTAATTGAACAGAAGGGAGCTTTTCATCCTCGCTCTCCCGCTCCCTCTTAGAGGGGGGTGGCGGTGGTGACCCTTTCAGAGGGTCACCCAGGACCCACCTCTGCGTCGACCACCTGAGATTCTGGCTGCGTCACTGGCAGCACTGGAAGCCGGAGAGCTTGGGGGCTAAGGCCCCCGTGTGGCCCCTGCCATGGAGAGCCCAGAGTCGTGGGACCCTCGTGGCTCGGCAGAGGCACCATGGCTCTCCACACACGAAAGCCATCTTTCTTAACTCCAGTCAAGGCAGAGAATGCAGTTCGGTGATGGGGCCTGTCACCATGGATATGGCTGCAGACAGAGGTGTGATTATATAAAGGCCGATTCCACCCACCACATGCGGAAACCGGCCTCCATGCTGCGTAATCCCTTCCACCCCCAGCTTCCTTGGGCTGTCAAGGAGAAGGCTTTCAGGGTCCAGAGTGTCAGAATAATTTTGACATTTGAGCTTTGAAAAGAAAAATAACCTCATAGCAAATAATTCACCTTTTTATTGAGTTAAAATTCACCGTTTTAAAGTGTATATTTCAGTAGTTTTAGTATATTCATGGTGTTGGAGCGCCTGGCTGGCTCAGTCAGAAGAACATGTGACTCTTGATCTCGGGATTGTGAGTTCAAGCCCCAAGTTGAGTGTAGAGATTACTAAAAATGAAAACAATGAATTGTGGATCACTACACCAAAAACTAATGATGTATTGTATGGTGACTAACAACGTAATAAAATAAAATTTTAAAAAGATTACTAAAAAAAAGTAAAAATAAAAACTTAAAAAAAACACACACGCACGCACACGCACATGCACACACACGAGTGTTGTGCAGCCATTCCCACTATCTAATTCCAAAACATTTCCATCTTCCCAAAAGGAACCCCCGTACCCGTTTGCAGTCACTCACAGTTTCCCTGTCCCTTCATCGCCTGGCAACTTTAACTACATCTTCTTTCTCTTTGGATTTGCCTATTTTGGCCATTTCATATAAATGAGATCATACAATCCGTGGCATTTGATGTGTGATTTCTTTGACTTAGCATGTTTTCAAGGTGCATCCATGCTGTAGCGCGTGTCAGTATTTCATTATTATGGCTGAATTCTAGTCCATTGTGTGGTTATACAACATACTGTGTATGTATGTATTTATTTTTCTAAAGATTGTATTTATTTATTTGACAGAGAGAGACAGAGCGAGAGCGGGAACACGAGCAGGGGGAGTGGCAGAGGGAGAAGCAGGCTTCCCCGCCGAGCAGGGAGCCCCATGCAGGGCTCGATCCCAGGACCCTGGGATCATGACCTGAGCCGAAGGCAGACGCTTAACCGACTGAGCCACCCAGGCGCCCCCATACTATGTATTTAAAAGGACATTTGTATTGTTTCCACTTTTTGCCTGTTGTGAATAATGCCACGAACATAGCAAATAATTCACTTTTATTAACAAATAATACCACTAAAACCCTGTGAGGTCCCACAGAGCAGAGCATTCAGTCCCTTATTTAAATGACAGTATAGGGATGCCTGGGTGGCTCAGTGGGTTGAGCATCTGCCTTCGGCTCAGGTCATGATCTCAAGATCCTGGGATCCAGCCCCTGCTCAATGGGGAGTCTGCTTCTCCCTCTTACTCTCCCTATGTGCACTCTCGCTCACTCTCCCTCTTATTCTTTATAAATAAATAAAATCTTAAAAAAAAAATAAATGACCATATAGATGCATGTGATCTTAAAGCCTGCTCATGCCTGTCACTCTGCTCAGAGCTGTAGCCAGAGGACAAACACAGTGTTCTTGATTTTATGAACTCAGGCACACAAGCCAAGAAGAAACCCAGCTGGTTGGAGAGAATGTAAATCCTAGAAAACCTTTCGGTTCATGCCAGGTCGAATTGAGGTATGAGGGGTTGTGGTTATGGTACTAGAACCCATGATGCCATTGCGGAGGGCTGTCGGAAATCTTGTGATGTCCTCCTCCTCCCGCCCCCTTCAAAAGGCACAGCCTGTTTCCCTCATGTCCCTCACTGCAAGTGACATTTACCCAGTGAGGGTCCTGGGATGAGTCACTTATGTCCCTTAACCACAGCTATTCCTCTAAACACCTTTATTTACTCAACTACCCATAATGATCACCATTGGGTTCACTCTGCAGAGCTAGGTGGGGCAGGTTAATTTTCAGGGTTGCTGTGTGAACAGCAATAGACAGTAGAGCTAGCTGGGCTGGGCATTGCGAACACCCCAAGCTGCTCGCCGCATGCCCAGAAGGGTGTGCTATAATCATCACAGCAGGCTCTCTCCTGGACATCTCTCTGGGATCTTCTGAGCCTGTTCTGAGGGAAGAGGAACAGGTGTCCCCAGTAGACCATGGTCCCTGGAGCATGGCCAGCCTCTCTCCACAGCAATGTGGACCATGGTTGCCCCTGTAGGAGGCACCAAACGCTTTGCTGTGAGTCAACAGAGAACCACAATTGGAGGTGCTGGGGCCACTGTGGGTGACATCAAAGGCAGCTCACAGGATGAAAGAGACTGGGGTTTTTAAAGATTTTTATTTTCCCTGAAGAAACTCAGTTGTGACCTAAAGGTAAGAAATCATAAATATAAGAGAAAAAAATGGACAAGAATTGAAAAAGAAAATTAGCATTGTTTGCAGATGATTATGTTCATAGAAAGTCCAAAGGAATCTATAGAAAGTTTTTTGGAATTAATAAGTGACTTTGGCAAGATTGTTAAATACAAGATAAGTAAACAAAAATCAGTTATATTCTTACATGACAGCGACAAAAAATAGAAAACGAAAAAAATTAATGATACTGTTTACTGTTGTATCAACAAATACAGAATACCTAAGAATAAATCTAAAGAACAGTATGGAAGTCCTCTGGACAGAAAACTATGAAGTGTTAGAGAAATTTTGAAAGACCTAAAGTAGTGGAGTTACAGACAATATTTGTGAGTTGGAAGACTTTCTTATCACTGGGATGTCAGATTTCCCTAAAATGATACATAGTTCAATGTACACTCATTTAAAATCCCAGCAGGTTTGTTTTTTTAAAGATTTTATTCATTTATTTGAGAGAGAGAGAGAGAACGCGCCCAAGTGGGGGGGATGGGCAGAGGGAAAGAGAGAAGCAGGCTCCCCGCTGAGCAGGGAGCCCCATGCGGGGCTCGATCCCAGGACCCCGGGATCATGACCTGAGCCAAAGGCAGATGCTTAACCCACTGAGCCACCCAGGCGCCCCCCCCAGCCAGTTTTTTTTTAATGGAATTTAATAAACTGCTTTTTAAATTTATAAAGAAAAGCAAAGAGCCAGTTAAGCAAGACAGTTTTGAAGAGGAACAATGCGAGATGATTTACATGACCAGCTGTCAAACCTAATTATAAAGCAGCAGTAAATCAAGGCAGTATAAAATTGGCACAAAGAAGGGCAAACCAATGGGACAGGAGAGCCCAGGAACAGACGTACATAGATACAGTCCCTTGAATTATGCTTTGCAGCGGGGGAAGGGGGCTGTGTCAACTAGATATCCATGTGGGAAAAAGTTCATCATGACCTGTTTGGTAGGCAGAATTACTAAAACACTCCCACAAAGATCTACCTCTGTAATCCCAAGAACCTGTGAATATGACAACAAATCACTCCCACAGTTGTTACGTTATATACAGTTGACCTAAAGACAAGATTACCCCAGGAGGCCTGATCTAGTCATATTAGCTCTTAAAAGTGGAGGGGTTTGAAGGACGAGAAAGACTCAGTGCTGTGTCTAGTTTGAAGTCAGAGAGGACCCCATGAGAGGGAATGCTAGTGGGCTCTAGGAGCGGATGGCCCATGGCCTGACAGCCAGCAAGACAGCAGGGATCTCAGTCCTAGACCCCAAGAACCTGAATGCTGCTAATAACCTAAAAAGCTTAGAAGTTGATTCCTTCCCAGAGCTTCCAGATCAGAGCCGGCGGGTGCCTTGATTTCAGCTTTGTGATACCTTCAGAAGAGAACTCGGCTAAGCTCACTCCTGACCTACAGAATCTTGAGTTAATAAATGAGTGTTGTTTGAAGCTGCTAAGCTTGGTAATTTGTAACGCAGCCATAAAAAAGAATACGGCCTCATCTACAACCTTGTACCATGCACAAAAATCAAATCCAGGTGGATTATAGATCTAAATGAAACAATAAAGCTTTTGTAAGAAAACATAGAAAAACCTCACAACAAGAGGTTATCCAAATGACCAGTAAACATATGTAATGGTGGTCAACCTTGTTGGCCATACAGGACATTTAATAAATGAAAACCACAATGAGAGGCCATTTCCCACCCACCAGGATGGCTTACGTGAAACAGACCAGCAATTCCAAGTATGGGAAAGGATGTTGTATTCATATCCTAGAGCTGCTGTGATAAATGACCACAATGTGGGTGACTTAAAACAACAGATATTTATTCTCTCATAGTTCTGGAGGTTGGAAATACCAAATCAAGGTTTTGGCAAGGTCAGTTCCTTCTGGCAGCTCTGAGGGACAATCTGTTCAGTGGCTCTTCCCTAGCTTCTGGTGACTGTGAGCTATCCTGGGCATTCTTTGAGTTGCAGATATGTCCTTCATATGTAGATGTGGCGCTTCACTGTCTGCCTCTATATGTCACATGGTGTTGTTCCTTTGGTGTGTTTCTGGGTCCACATTTCCCTTTTTTTATAATGGCGCTGGCCATATTGGATTTAGGGCCAACCCTAAGCCAGTATGACCTCAACTCAACTCGATTATATCTGGAAAGACGCTGTTTTGTTTTGTTTTGTTTTTTTGGACGCTGTTTCCAAATAAGGTCATATCTCCAGGTTCCAGATAGACGTGAATTTGGGGGAATACTATTCAACCCACTATGGATGTGGAGCAACTAGAATCTGGCGTATTGTTGATAAAGTGTAAATTAGTTTGGAAAACTTTTTGTCAATATGACCCCCTCATTTCACGCAATAGAAGTATTTCTGTAGTGTGTGTATATATGTATATATATACACATATATGTATATATATACACACACACATATATATGGGAAGAGAGAGATCAAAAGACGTATGAAAGAATGTTCCATAGCAGCTTCATTTATAGTACCTCTGAACTGGAAACACCAGTGTCTGTTAATACCTAATAGATACATAAAGGTGTAGTTGTGCCACTATTCATATAGTATTCAATGGAAAGGAAAGAACTTGTGCTATATTCTACAACACAAACGTAATATTGAGTGAAGGAAGTCAGAGACAAACAAATACTTATCATATGATAAAGTTCTGAAACAGCAGAACTGTCCTGGAGACGTAAAGGGAGGCAGGGGTTACCTTTGGCGGGTAGTGATGGGGAAAGACACAAGATAGGCACCTGGGATGCTGGTCATTTTCTAGATCCTAATCTGGGTGGCAGATGCTGGATTCATTCGTTTTGTACAAATTCATCAGGCTGTACACTTAAAATTCATGCCCTTTTTTAAAAAAAGCTACCGTATGATCCAGCAATTTCACTCCTAGGTGAGCTGAGAACACGAAGAGAACTGAAAACATGTCCACAGAAAAAGTTGTACATGAATGTTCATAGTGGCATTATTTCTAAGAGCTAAAAAGGAAAAACAATCCAAATGTCCATGAACTGATGACTGGATAAACAAGTGTGTGTATCCATATGATGGAATATGATTTAGCCTTAAAAAGGAATGGAGTATTGGGCGCCTGGGTGGCTCATTTGGTTAAGCGACTGCCTTCGGCTCAGGTCACGATCCTGGAGTCCCAGGATCGAGTCCAGCATCGGGCTCCCTGCTCAGCAGGCAGTCTGCTTCTCCCTTTGACCCTCCCCCCTCTCATGCTGTCTCTCTCTCTCTCTCAAATAAATAAAATCTTTAAAAAATTTTAAAAAAAAGGAATGGAGTACTAATACATCCTATAACATAGACTAACTTGAAAAGCATTATGCTAGGTGAAATAAACCAGACACAAAAAGCCACATACCAAATGTGACCCCATTTATATGAGATATCCAGAATAAGCAAATCCATAAAGTAAACACAAAGAGACATGAAGGAAATTAGTGGTTGCCAGGATCTATAGGGAGAGGGTGATGGAGAGTGAGTGCTAATCAGTGTGGATTTCTTCTTTTTTTTTTTTTTTTAGGATTTTATTTGTTTATTTGACAGAGAGAGAACACAAGCGGGGGAGCAGCAGAGGGAAAGGGAGAAGCAGGCTCTCCACCAAGCAGGAAGCCCGATGCGGGGCTTGATCCCAGGACCCTGGGATCATGACCTCAGCCAAAGGCAGACGCTTAACGACTGAGCCACCTAGGCGCCCCCCCCTTTTTTAAATTATGGTAAAACATATGTAACATAAAATTTACCATTCTACCCATTTTAAAGTATACAGTTCAGTCTTGTTTCTTTTTGATGAAAATGTTCCAGATATAGATAGTGGATGGTTGCATTACTTTGTGAATATACTTAAAAAAAAAAAATCCTCACTTGTATTTAAAAGGGTGACTTTTATGGTATATCAATTATATCTCAATAAAAAGAAAGCTATACTCAACAGCCTAGTCATTAGGGAAATGCAAATCAAAACCACAGTGAGATATTACACAAATTAGGGTGGCTATTATTACATAATTTTTTAGGGTACCTATTTAAAAAAACAGAAAATAACAAGTGTTGGTGAGGATATAGAGAAATCCTTGTGCATCGCTGGTAGAAATGTGAAATAGTACAACTGCTGTGGACAAATTTAGTGGTTCCTCAAAAAAAAAAAGTTACACTTAGAATTACCTTATGATCCAACGATCCTACTTCTGTGTATAAACCCCAAAGACTTGAAAGTAGGAACTCAAACCGGCATTTATATACTGATGTTCGTAGCAGCATTACTTACAATAGCCAAAAAAATGAAACTTCCCAAATATTCATTAATAGATGAATGAAAGGTCACCTGGGTGGCTGTGTTGGTTAAGCAACTGCCTTCAGCTCAGGTCATGAACCCAGGGCCCTGCTTCTCCCTCTCCCTCTGCCACTCCCCCTGCTTGTGCTCTTCTGCTCTCTCTGTGTCAAATAAATAAATAAAATCTTTAAAAAAAAAAGATGAATGGTAAACAAAATGTGGCACCTATATACAATGGAATGGTATTCAATTTGTTTTTTTCTTTTTAAAGATTTTATTTATTTATTTGACAGAGACACAGTGAGAGAGGGAACACAAGCAGGGGGAGTGGGAGAGGGAGAAGCAGGCTTCCCGCGGAGCAGGGAGTCCGACGTGGGGCTCGATCCCAGGACCCAGGGATCCTGACCTGAGCCAAAGGTAGATGCTTAATGACTGAGCCACCCAGGCACCCAGAATTTCATTCCTTTTAAAAACTGAATACCAGGGGTGCCTGGGTGGCTCAGTTGTTAAGCGTCTACCTTCAGCTCAGGTCATGATCCCAGGGTCCTGGGATCGAGTCCCACGTCGGGCTCCCTGAGCAGGGAGCCTGCTTCTCCCTCTCCCACTCCCCGTGCTTGTGTTCCCTTTCTCACTGTCTCTCTCTCTCTGTCAAATAAATAAATAAAATCTTTAAAAAATAAATAAAAATAAAAGGAATGAAATTCTGACACCTGCTATAACATGGATGAACCTTGACATCATTATGGAATGTGGAATAAGCCAGACACAAAAGAACAATGTTGTATGAATCTGTTTATATGAGGTGCCTATGATAGGCAGACTCATAGAGATAGAAAGTAGAATAGAGGTTATCAGGGGCTGAAGGGAGGAGGGGAATGGGGGGGTTATTATTTAAGGGTGATAGAATTTCTGTTTGGGATGATGAAAAAGTTCTAGAAATGGATGGTAGTGATGGTTATGTACAACATTGTGAATGTACTTAATGCCACTTAATTGTGTGGTTAAAATGGTGAATCTTCTGATGCATATTTTACCACAAAAAAAGAAAGAAAGAAAGAAAGAAACAGAAGTGTTAAAGTACTTTTCTGCCAGAGGTTCTTGTAACCTAGTAATGCTGAGACTTCTAGGATGAAGGGTCTGGACCCTGGAGGAGTGTAAATGTATGCAGTGGAGTACCCCATCACTCAGCCATAAAAAAGGAAGATCTTACCATGTGTGACAACATGGATGTACCTAGAGGGTATTATGCTAAGTGATATTTCAGTCAGAGAAATACCGTGTGACTTGACTTATGTGAGGAATCTAAAAAACAAGACAAATGAACAAACAAAAAACAGAAAGAGAATCATAAATGCAGAAAACAAACTTGGTGGTTGCCAAAGGGGAAGTGGGTGGGGGGATGTACAAGGTTCCAGTTATACAATAAATGAGTCGTGGAGATGAAAATTAGAGCAGAGGGAATATAGTCCAGAGTCTGTAAAAACAGCATGCTGTTACCTGGTGATGATGTATCCTGGCAGATGGCAGCTACACTTAACGTGGGGAGCACTGACTCATGTGTAGAATCGCCCAAGCACTGTATTGCGTACCCGAAGCTCATAAAACATTGTATGTCAACTATACTTTAATTTTTAAAAAAGATCACATAGTCAATAAATGAATGACCTGGGATATGAATGAATGCATGAGCTCGTGTTAGTAGTGCTATGATGTAGAATTTTGAAATATGCTTGCTTCATCATAAGAGCTTTTAAGCTAGCCAGTGTTGTTTTTACTGTGTTGAACAGGGAATGCATTTCATTGAAAAAGGAAAGCAGTAAAAGTCTCCCTCCTCCCCTGTTCCCTTTCCACCTGCTTCTCACTAGAATCCCCGCCTCCACTCCACATAGTCATCTTAATAGTGTCTGGTATATGCTCTCATGCTTTTTGTTTGCAGATGCAAGTAAATATGAATAAATAGCCTCATTCCCTTCTCCCTTTGTTTACACCAAGGGTTAACACTGGTCCGTTTAGGCAATTTGCTTTTTGTAGGACTTGGCTACCTCTCTGGTGCAGTGTACTCCAAAGTGAATCTCTGATTGAATTAATTATCTTTCATCTTAGAGAGATTCTTCATGCAGAGAGTTCAATTTGTTTGGTGGTAATTCTATATTGAAATTGAATTCGGGCCAAACTCCAGCACTGCCAAGTCTTACGTAACCGACAGAAGCTGAACTTTCAACCAGCTGCCGTATGTTGTGAGGAATTAAAGCCAGAAGACTGATGCAGATAGTTCCTAAGAGTCAAGTTCTCAGGTGCCTGGTGGCTCAGTTGCTTAAGCATCTGCCTGTGGCTCAGGTCATGATCCCAGGGTCTTGAGGAGCCCTGCTCAGTGGGGAGCCTGCTTCTCTCTCTCCCTCTGCCCCTCCCTACCCCCAACTCGTGCTCTCTCTCACTATCTCCCTCTCTTTCTCAAATCAATAAATAAAGTCTTAAAAAAAAGTCAAGTTCTCACTCTCAAAATCTCTAGGGGAAGAAACCAGCATATATGAATATATATGTAATTAATATATATTTTTAAATACATATATATGTATATGTGTTTGGGAGGTGGCATATGGCCCTTATTGAGCTTATCCACCAGAGTGGAAATAATGTCTGTATAAAAACAAATGTTTGTTACTATGACTTCTACATCACAATTAAAATCCACCATTGAGTCCACTCAATCAAAATCCACTAGTTCAAAATCAATAGCTTCTTTGAAGCCACAGTAACTCTTAGATAAGGTTAAGACTCAAAAGCAGAAATTTGGTTGGCTGGAAAGCGAATTAAACTTCCCAGTTGCTCAAATAGAATTACAAAAGGACAAAATTGTGTTTTTCGCAGAGATAAGAGTCCGCTGGACTCACCAACACTGGACAGCTGTCTCTGAGGATTTCATCCTGAGATCGTCAGGAATCCAGGCACCCTTTAGACAGTCATGTGTTGTCCTTTCTCCCCATTCAGAGATTTGTGGATGTGTGGAGTGACACCACCACCAGCAATTGTAGCCTTGATGAGAGAGGCTGGTTCTTCCTCTCCACAGAGAGCAGGTTGCTTTACCTGAAGTCTTGGGATGCATTTCCTGCCCGTCAGGGTCCCTCTGCAGTGAGGTACTTACTTTGGGATGGTGCTACACAAATAGCGTTCATGGCCCGTCGTCCTAGATTTCAGGTGTCCGTGAATATGGCCCACCAGGATTTCGCAAGCCAGCTCTCTGCAAGGGGAAACTGCCTTCGTCTTGGCCTTTCTGGAGTTCCTCCCATCCTTACCGCCAGCCACTTTGAATTCAGCTGCAGCGCAAGCAAGCGAGGCAGAGAAAGGCCAGTCAGACAGCTGGAGAGATCCCACCGCCTACTCCTTCATCACACCACCATTCAAACTGCTAAAAATAGAGATACAAATATATAGATTAACAAAAGGCTATGACATGTCATGCTCCTTCAGAAACTACTCTTTTTTTCTCCTCCTAGTTAGAAGTATTAGAAAAGTACATACCAGAATATTTATTTAAGGTGCTTCCTGGAATGGTTTCACTTAGTGTGCCCTGAGGGTGAAGCTCAGGGGGACTCCAGAGACCTCTGGGAAGAAGGAGGAGGGGAGCTGGAAGAAGGGTCTGTCTTCCCATGCAGTAGGACTGTGAACAGGGCACATGCCCCTCCCAAAGCCACTTCTCTGGAGCTTGCTGATTTTGTCTAGCCTCTATTTTTTCCTCCTCAGGTACTGGCGGAGAACGTTGGGTATGCAGGTCCACTACGTTTACCACGAAGACTATCAGTTCTGTTATTCCTTCCGGGGCAGGCCTGGGCACAAACCGTCCATCCTCATGCTGCATGGGTTCTCTGCACATAAGGATATGTGGCTCAGCGTGGTCAAGGTGCGGTTCTAGGTTCTTCTCTCTCCATAGGGTGGCACTCAGTAAAGAAAAGGGTGTCCACTTGCATGTGATGTCGTCAGCAATGATGGAAAGCCAAGGGAGCCCAGAACTGTGGTTCAAATCATCTTAAAACTAATTCAGTAGAGGGGCGCCTGGCTGGCTTAGTCGGTAGAGCATGCAACTCTAGATCTCAGGGGTTGTGAGTTCAAGCCCCGTGTTGGGCATGGAACCTATTTTTAACCCCCCCCACAAAAAAAACTAATTCAGTATACAGTTAACCCTTGAACAGCATGGGAATTAAGGGAGCCCACCCATGATGCAGTCAAAAACTCACGTATAGCTTTTTTGCTCTCCCCAAATTTGACTACGAATAATCTGTTAACTGGAAGACTTACCAATAACATAAATGGTCAGTTAACACATATTTTGTATGTCATATGTATTATAGATTGTATTCTTAAAATAAGCTAGAGAAAAGAAAATGTTATTAAGAAAATCATAAGGAAGGGCGCCCGGGTGGCTCAGTGGTTAAGCGACTGCCTTCGGCTCAGGTCATGATCCTGGAGTCCCGGGATCGAGTCCCACAGAGCCCGCTTCTCCCTCTGACCCTCTCCCCTCTCATGCTGTTTCTCTCTCTCTCTGTCTCTCAAATAAATAAATAAATAAAATCTTTTTTAAAAAAAAAGAAAATCATAAGGAAGAGAAAATACATGTACTGCATTGTATCGAAAAAATCCACCTCTAAGTGGACCTGCACAGTTCAAACCCATGTTGTTTGAGGGTCAGCTGTGTTACTCAAATCCTTTTGTCAGACAAAAGTTACTCAGTTCAGTATTATTTGTAAAACCTGCACCTTAGAAATCATTTCACCATACGAATATATGAATATTCACCATATGAATATTCTTAGGGAAGGTTTCTGACACTCTGCTTCCTCGCAGAACTTGTCATGACTGGGGCGCCTGAGTGGCTCAGTCAGTTAAGCGACTGCCTTCGGCTCAGGTCATGATCCTGGAGTCCCGGGATCGAGTTCCACATCGGGCTCCCTGCTCAGCGGGGAGTCTGCTTCTCCCTCTGACCCTCTTCCCTCTCATGCTCTCTATCTCTCATTCTCTCTCTCTCTCAAATAAATAAATAAATAAAATCTTTAAAAAAAAAAAGAACTTGTCATGACTGTCAAGATCAGGTTGAACAAAATCATTTATTCTTTTTTTTAAATTAATTTATTTATTTTAAAGATTTTATTTATTTATTTGAGAGGGAGAGAATGAGAGATAGCACGAGAGGGAAGAGGGTCAGAGGGAGAAGCAGACTCCCCACTGAGCAGGGAGCCCGATGCGGGACTCGATCCCGGGACTCCAGGATCATGACCTGAGCCGAAGGCAGTCGCTTAACCAACCGAGCCACCCAGGCACCCTAGAGAAACTGTCTTGATCTGACAGCTTTCTGAGATAGTTTTCCAAATCACTCACTTTCTGTCCTGGTTTCCTTGGGTGTGGCAACGTGCTCTACTTGGTAAGAGTGACCAGCTGGTGCAGGTTGGGCCTGGGAGAGGTCTTGGGAGGGACGTGCTCCAGACTCCCACCTCAAGCAGAACCATGCCTGAATGATTCCAAGTAGGATCTATGCCAGGGGGAAAAGGCTCACACATCCTATAGTCACTCCTGTTCTCATTCCCAAATTCCACTGTAAGGACAGTCATCCTCATGCCATAACGAACCTCTCACTTCCTGACCCTCCTCAGATATTTTTGGTATAACTGGTATTTTGTGTATTGATAGCTGATGTTTCTCAGCTTCTGGTTAAAAGTGGCACAAATATAAATGGAAGGTGTCTTTGGATAATAATCATCCCAGGAATTAGACCTTAATGCAAAAAAAAAAGGGGGGGGGTTTGAAACCAGAATCAGAGTGATCAGACATGGTTCTGAGCTTTGCTCCTGTTGGCTCCGGAGCCTCCCACGGTTCTGGGAGAACAGAGTCTTCTTTCCTAGCTCCAAGTCTCCCCAAGTCAGTGGCTGCATGACTGGAGTAAGTGTGGAGGGGGTGAAAGGAAAGGAGAGAGTACTTACCAGCTGGTATCGAGAAAGAGCGAGACTCAAGCCTGCTACCCTGACCTTTATCCACCCCCCCCCCCGCTTTCCACACATCTCCTGAGTCCCCTCCCATCTTTGTATTGGTCTTTGAGGGTCTCTGCTCCCTAGGAGGCTACTAGCAGTACTCACACCATATGTAACTAGGACAAGACACTGGGTGGCCTAGGCCCAGACATCCTCAGGGATGGCTGTCCAGGTCACTTGGTAAGTGGGAGTGACCTCCCTAGAAGAGTGAGCAGACATGTCCTGCACACCACATCCTGACTCTCTGCACCTGTGTGTCCCTAGTTCCTTCCAAAGAACCTGCACTTGGTCTGCGTGGACATGCCAGGACATGAGGGCACCACCCGATCCTCCCTGGATGATCTGTCCATAGATGGGCAAGTAAAGAGGATACACCAGGTAAGCAGGAGGCTCCGCCAAAAATTGCTCAGACTGTGTCTTACCCACCTTGCGTGCCCAAGTCTGGAGAGCACGAAAGAGAGTTCCATGCTGACTTGTAACCAGTATCCAGTGCATTCTGTCTGCAAATATTTGCAAACAAAAATGGCATCCCAGTGGTATCATTGGTCAGCTGTGGAGGACCAGGACCTATTGCAGACAGTGCTCCTTTAAGCCTACTTTATTTAGTTATTTCTCAAGAAATATGATACGGACCTTTTTTTTTAGCTCTTTAAAAAAGGAGTTTAGAATTCTCAAGACCATTTCCCTAGAGTCTATTTTTTTTGCTTACCACCTACATGACACAACATAATGATGGCCCCTCTGCCTAGTTGTGGAGGATGGGGAGGGTGCTCTTTGCATTTTGTTCTTTTTTAGCATCTAGCCTCAGCCTCTCTCTGGCAGGGCTTTCAAGGTCATGGGGCTCTTGAATCACTTCAGAATTTAGTAATCTGTGAGTTACAGATTGACATTATGAATTTTCCCCAGATGAGGTTGTTTATTTAATGTCTGTACCCAGCCTAACCCTTACCTTTGAAGTGTGTATTCTGATGAGGTCAGGAACCTTGTCTTTTGGGGTCTTGGCTGTATCCTCAGGAGCTGACCATAGTTCCTTATACATAATAGATATCCAATAAATACATTTTTTTAAATGGGTGGATGGTTGGTAGAACGGTTGGATGAATGGTTAGATGGTTGAATAGACAGGTAGGTGAATCATTATATGAAATGAATGGATGGATGGGAAGGGCTTTTAATGTAGGGTAAGAGTCAGCAAGCCATTGTTGGCTTTCTGTAAGCGAGGTTTTCTTGGAATATAACCATGCTTATTCATTTACATGTTAGCTCTGGCCACTTTTGTGCTACAACAGCAGGGTTGAGTAGTTGCAGCAGAGAACATACGACCCACAAAGAAGAAATATATTTCTCTTGGGACCTTTGTAAAAAAAAAAAAAAGTTTGCTGGCTCATGAGTTAGGGGAATCCTTGTCGGTTTTATACTTATAAATGACCCTTCAATCACCATGCCAGGTAAAGAGGATTATATGCCACAGGGTTTGTCTGGATAATGGATCCAGTAGATTTCAGAGGTTTTCTGCTGTGTAATCAGTCTTGTTATTGTCTACAGCTATATAACCAAACCTCCTTCTCATTTCCCTCCCTAGTTTGTAGAATGCCTCAAGCTGAACAAAAAACCCTTCCACCTCATAGGCACCTCCATGGGTGGCCACGTGGCTGGGGTATATGCTGCTTACTACCCATCAGATGTCTGCAGTCTTTGTCTCGTGTGCCCTGCTGGTAAGTTACAAGGCTAAAATAAGCCCTGTGCATGACTTAAACAAATGGCAGTGTCTGCGCTGTCTTGTAGAATCATTTTTTCAATATCTACTTTAGAGATACGCAATGCTTCAGTGATAACTAACCAACAATAATCGAATAACCGTAATCATAACCATACTAACTGAAAATCTAGAGCCAGCCTTGTTCCACAAAGGATTCGATGGTTAATTTAAGTGTGTCCTAGTACATTACAGCATATAAATACTTTGAAATATAATGATAATATTAAGAGCCAGCATTTTTCTTTTTTTAAGATTTTATTTATTTATTTGAGAGAGAGAGTGAGCAGGGGGAGGAGCCTAGGGAGAGGAACATGCAAACTCCGAGATCAGCACGGAGCCCAGTGCGGGGTCCAGTCCCATGACTCTGAGGTCATGACCTGTGCTGAAACCTAGTCAGATGCTCAGCTGACTAAGCCACCCAGGCGCCCCTAACATCCAACATTTATTGAGCTCTTACGAGCTAAGGTCTTTATATGGATTTAATTCTTGCCATATCCTTCTAAGGTGAAAGTACTATTATTATGCCTCTCTCCTTTTTTGCTGAAAACTCAGAAATCTTGATACATGACAAGATCTTTTTTTAAAAAAATCAACATACTTTAGTTTCTGTGTTTTTATGTGTATACGTGTCAACTTGAACTGTAATACGTCCCCAGAAGTTACAATTTGAAGTCGGATTTTTTTTTAAGGATTTTATTGGGAAAAAAAGATTTTATTTTTTTAAGGAATTTCTACATCCAATGTGGGGCTCAAACTTAACCCCAAGATCAAGAGTCACATACTTCACTAACTGAGCAAGCCAGGCACCCCTGAAGCTGGATTTTTAGAATTCATTTTCTTCTATAAGTCTTCAAATTAGGATATATAATGTGTTAGAGAGAAAATCTTAATTTTTCTTTTTCCTTCTCCTGCTCCCTCTCTCTCTCATACTTTACTGGATTATGATTTACATGTAGTAAATTGCCCAAATTTTAAGTATACATCTCAGTGATTTTTTACATGGGTAATTACTCTCCAGATCGAGATAGTACACCCATTTTATAGGTGGGAACATTGAGGCACAAAGAAATTATGTTACTGCTGGAGCTACAATAGGAACGGATCCTAGGTTGTCTGACTCTAGAACCCAAACTGTGGTTTTTTGGAAATCCTTTGATGTCCACTACCTCTTATATGTCACTCTTACCCACTATCTCCTTTATCTGCTAGAACCTACCGTGAGTCAAACCTTCTACTGAAACCTAACTAAAGTGACCTTTTAAAATCTTTTAGTCACCAAAATCGCTTTCAGGTCTGTTAAGGACATTGCAATGGAAACTCCCAAAGGATTTTCTTTTCTCCTTTTTCCAGGCACTATGTCTGAATTAATTTGGTCTTTTGGTAATAAAGTTTGAGAATCGGAGAAACAGCTCCAATGGAAGTTATTAGATTTTTAATTGTTTATGGAAGGTCAAATCTAACTGACTTTTTTGAACGTATGTTCATTTGCACTCCTAAGTTTCAATTGGGAATTTAAAATTGAGATTATTTGGGGGCAGCTGGGTGGCTCAGTCAGTTAAGCATCCAACTCTTCATTTCGGCTTGGGTCATGATCTCAGGGTCTCTGGCTCTGCACTGAGTGTGGAGCCTGCTTATGATTCTCTTTCTCCCTCTCCTCTTGCCCCTCCTCCCCACTCATGCTCTTACTTAACTGATTGATTGAGTGATTAAAAATAAATAAAATTAAGATGATTTGTGTGTGGAAATGAAAAGATAAGCTTTTTTACTTTGAAATAATTTTAAATTTACAAAAATGTTGCAGAGATAGTACAGAGAGTCCCACATAACCCTTCACCCAGCTTCTCCCATTGTTAATGGCTCACCTTACCACAGTAAATTTGTCACAGCTAAGAAACCAACACTGGTGGGCGCCTGGGTGGCTCAGATGGTTAAGCGTCTGCCTTCGGCTCAGGTCATGATCCCAGGGTCCTGGGATCGAGTCCCGCATCGGGCTCCCTGCTCCTTGGGAGCCTGCTTCTCCCTCTGCCTCTTTCTCTCTCTCTCTCTCTCTCTGTCTTTCATGAATAAATAAATAGAATCTTTAAAAAAAAAAAGAAAGAAAGAAACCAACACTGGTAACAGCATTAATAACTGAACTCTGGGATGAATTTGGATTTCATTTGTTTTTCCACTAATGTCCTTTTTCTGTTCCAGGATCCAATCCAGGATACCACATGACATTTAATCTAGGATTATTTTTAAAGTAAAAGGAAATAGATCATGTAACCTGTCCCATGACATCACAAAAGCCACACGATGCTTGTGCTAGCTTTAAAGGAACTGCTGAATATAGGAAATCTATAAAGTGTGGGTTTCTGCAGCACAGTATGATGTCACTGCCTTTCTTCTGAAACGTAGCTCGTCAGCTAAGTTAAACACCTAGACCTTTGCTCCGTGTTGGAAGTGAAAATTACTTCTACCCTCCCGTGCACATCAGCTCATGTGAATGAATTCTCTCATGTCTTGCTCCAGGGAGATAGGAAATGATGGTCAGTCTCAAAGGCGTCTGGTATCAGTGAGCACCTAATGCTCTCCTGGAGGAAGAGGGGCTGTGTGGAGGGCAGCTACTCTCTCTCTCCCTGTGGTTATGTATTGACCCCAAAAAAGAGACTACTAAGTGGCTCCAGGCCAAGGGAAGGAGGCGTCAGTCACTCCAGTCCTATGTTCTCTTCCCATCATGTATTTTATCAGCTCTCCTCTCAATGATAACGGATATGAAGGGGCTCAGGCAAGTTGTCTTCTAGACTGATGCTTCTTAAACTCTTTCATACACATGCCTCCCCGGCAGCTTGTTCAGTGCAGATTCAGAGTGAAGAGACTTAGGAGAGGGACTGAGATTCTGCATTTCCTATGGGCTTCCAATGCTGCTGGTCCATGGACCACAGTTTGAGTAACCAGTCCCTAAACCATCCTGAAGGAGTCTTTTTCTGTTTCTCAGAGTGGGGTTTTGACTTTGAGCCCGGATGATAGTACCAATGAAAAAGAAATCTGGTGAAAAACACCTGAAATATCCTAGCCTCTGGGCTGATATTGGAAGTTTCCTATATAAAATGAGACTTGGTAAGAAGGTAGGTACATTGCCAAGCTGTTCTGGTTTGAATCCCACAGGCTTGCAGTACTCAACTGATAATCAATTTGTACAGCGGCTCAAAGAACTGCAGAACTCGGCCACCATGGAGAAGATCCCCTTGATCCCATCCACCCCAGAAGAGATGAGTGAAATGCTCCAGCTCTGCTCCTATGTCCGCTTCAAGGTGCCCCAGCAGGTATTGTGCTTTCAGCAGCAATATGCCTGCCCTCTGCCACAGGTTCAGCCAGCCTCCTCACGCACCCTTTCCCTCTTGTGCTCCTCTATGTAGTCATTCAACGGCTGTCTGTCCTGGGTCTGTGACGGGTCAGGCATGGTGTTTAGACACAGTGGTGAAGAAAGAAGACAGGGTACCTGGGCAGACACAGGCCAGTTTCGGGAAGCAGACAGTTAACAAGTAAATATGTACGCATGGTGATAAGTCCTATGGCGGAAATGAAGATGGTATAGTGATTGACAGGAGGGAGGCGGGGGAGTCTTTGATAAGCCTCTCTGAGGAAATAATGTGGGCAGAGGTGGGGAAAACATAGATAAGTTCAAGACACTGGAAGGAGGCTGGGGCCCAGGCCTGGCATCTTATCTAGAGAGAAAGCGGGGGAGGGAGGCAAGGGCTGCAGCAGAGACTTGCTTCTTTTCTTTTCTCTTCTTTCTTTCTTTCTTTTTAAATTTCAGGACTGCTTTACATGCTTAAAAATTGCTAAGAACCCTAAAGAGCTTTTGTTTGTGGAGGTTCTGCCTATTGATATTTACCATATCAGAAAGTAAAACTCAGAAAGGTAAAACACAAGAACATACAGGCACTCATTCCATTAGCTGTCAGCGTGATGACGCTGCCCCTCCACAAGCAGGCTTTGAGACACAGAATGCTTCTGAGAGCATGGAGGTGAAGCAGGCAAGTAACATTTAGCATTACGGGGGAAATTGTTTGACCTCACGAGCTCCCAGGAGCCACTTGGAGAACCACGGGGCTAGATCACATAGGACTCTACAGGTTATGAGAAGGAGCCTGCATTTCCCCTAAGAGGACCGGGTGGGGGGCACAAACAGAAGCAGAGAACCAGGGGGGTGCTCCTGTGGCCTGGCAGTGACAGTGGTGTAGACGAGGGCAGTGGCAGTGGAGACTAGAGATCCGAGCTGCTTTGGGAGGAAGGATGGGCAGGATTTATTGGCAAATTGGCAGTGGAGGATGGGGGACAGTGAGGACTCACAGGCGGCTTCTGGTACTTAAGTTGGACAAAGGCAGCAGTTTCTGAGTGAGGGAAGGAGAGAGGGAGAAGAGGTCTTGGGGACCAGCGAAGGGCTCCATTTGAGACATGTTCAGGTTCTGTGAGGCCTCCAGGTGCAGACGTCAAGCAGCCGGTTGCATATGCAGGTGGAGCTGAGGGACATCTGGCCCGGAGCTGTGCAGTTAGAGCCATCCGCCAGGACGATGTTACTGGTCACGGTCTGAATGAAGCCGTGAATCTAGGGAGGCACTGTGGAAACCAAGAGAGGAGAATGCATGGCTAAGTCTCATAACTGCCACTAATCTCTTCCTAGTGTAGGAACTGGACCCTGCCTCGCGGGGTGGGTCCTCCTAGAAATTGAGGGAATGGGCTGTATTCAGAGGTGTGAACATGACTCAGTTAAGGGGTATAGAAGCTCCCAGAATCTGATTCTGTGGTACATTCTAGCCCTGAAATCCTCTCTTTAGTTGTGAGGTTGCACTGATCCCCTCCCAGCCATGCTCTCTGCCCAGAAGAGAGTGGCCAAACAGTGCTTTAGGAAATTCCATGCTTTGAGTTGTCAGGGATATGAGAACACGGGGAGAGAGTAAGTGGCAACTCTAGAAGTCTTCCCTCCTAGGAGGCAAGGAGCACCCGAGCACTCTGTGTCATGTTATGTTTGTCTGTTAACTTGTCTGCATCTTCCACTCTAACCTCAGTAAGACCAAGGATTTTGTCTTAACTGCCTGCTCTATCCGCAGCCTTTACTAACACGGTGCTTGCGTGAAGTAGGTCCTCAGTATAGATTGGGTGGGTCAGAGGGAGGGAGGATAATGCAGAGATGGAGAATGGATGTGTGAGTAGGTGCAGAGTAGATGGGCACATGAATTGTTGCATGTACATGCGTAGGTTAGGGATGCAGGAGAGATGAATGGCTGAATACTTGGTTGGATGAGGCTGCCTGGAGAATGCAGGGATGGAAGATGGATGGATTGGTGGATGCAGGATAGAGGGATACATCAGTAGACATGCATGTATGATTCAGAGATGTAGTGTGGATGGATGTCTGCATGAAGGAGGGATGGAGGATGGATGGATGGATGGGTAGGTACAGGGTAGGTGGATGCACAGATTTATGCACACGAGTCAGAGATGCAAGCAAGATGGGTGGCTGGGTGGGAGAGCAGAGGTCGAGGATGCAAGATGGATAGATGTGCACGTGCAAGATCATAGTAGAGGAAACAAAAGGGCTGATGCCGAGCACAGTGTGTTGGACAACTTGCCATTGGTGTCACCTCTAGGCTTTCACTTCCAGAATGGTCAGATTCTAGTCATGCTCCAGAGGGTTGGTTCAGAGCAGTTCTGGCTACATTTTCCCCCTTCAGTCAGTACACAGGACTCCTCAGAGTGCATCTGAGGGGCGCAAACCACTCCCAGGGAGATGAGAGGCGTGCCAGTGCTAATGTGAATGCTGTACCCTACTTCAGGGATTCCCATGGCAGGAGGAAGAGGAGGGCTGTGTTCCTTCTTCCCACAGCCAGTCTCTGGGTCAGGATCCCAGGTCCAGTAGATCTGGGGTACCCACATTGGCTGCAGCCTTCACCAGCCCTCCACAAGGAAAGCAAAGATAACACTGAATAATAAACAAAGAACTATGGAACCCATCCCAGAATTTTTTAAATAGTTCATCTCTTTATTGTTCAAGAGGCCCATCATCCCCACTAGTTTGATTTTTTTTTTTAGTAGACCTTATTCTGCATTTGGATATTACTAAACAATTCCTTGATATTATTTCTAGCCTTGATTGTATCTTAGGCTAAGCAGAGAATATCTCAAGATAAAGTGGCTGTGAACCATGTCAGGTGTTTTTACATGCTTTGGCTTCCCAGCATTACTCGGGTTCCTTCCTAATTACAAAGGAAAAAGCGTCAGATGACCCTAATTCCCAATTACAATGCATACTCCGTGGTGGGAATTTGGAGCCCTGGGCCCTAAAACCTTGACACTGCCATACATTGCCAGACTTTATTTCCTTCGTTGTCCCGGAGCCACGGGGGGGCCTGAGGAAACAACCCGTCTCTTGCCTTCTAACCGTGGCTCACTTCTCCGTAGATCCTGCAAGGCCTTGTTGACGTCCGTATTCCTCATAACAACTTCTACAGAAAGCGTAAGTAGCCGTGGTTAGGCTTGGTGCTTGTGACGAGTGAAGCTCTAAGGGTGGTTGGCTTTTATATTTTACATTTCTGAGATTTTGATCGTTTTCTGGGGCCCCTAAAGACAGAAAGTGGCGGCCCTGAGTCCATGACTGTCCCTGAACTCTGTAGAGTTCTGGTGCCCACAGGCACAGCCCGGCACGCACTCACTTTGTTTTCCTTTTCTGAAAAGTGTTTTTGGAAATCGTCAGTGAGAAGTCAAGATACTCCCTCCATCAGAACATGGACAAGATCAAGGTCCCAACGCAGATCATTTGGGGGAAACAAGACCAGGTATGTAGCTCATCCCTGGGTACCCTTTGCCAGTGTCACCGGCCTCTGAGGAAAAGCAAGAGGTCATTTATCAAGTGAGCCTCACTGGCTGGTTTCTGATACCAGGAGGAGGTAGAACACACCTGGGTCAAGTGCTGATATTTATGGGGGGCATCATTCTCTTGAGTTGAGAGCAAAGATGTTGATCTTTTAAAATGAAAGAAAATCGGGGTGCCTGGGTGGCTCAGTCGGTTAAGCGTCTGCCTTTGGCTCAGGTCATGATCCCGGGGTCCTGGGATCCAGCCCCATGTCAGGCTCCCTGCTCAGTGGGGAGCCTGCTTCTCCCTCTCCCCCTCATGCTTGCTCTCTCTCTCTCTCTCTCAAATAAATAAGTAAAAATCCTAAGGGCGCCTGGGTGGCTCAGTCATTAAACGTCTACCTTCAGCTCAGGTCATGATCCCAGGGTCCTGGGCTCGAGCCCCACGTTGGGCTCCCTGCTCAGTAGGAAGCCTGCCTCTCCCTCTCCCTCCACCCCTCCCCCCGCTTTCTCTGTCTCTCCCGCTCTCTAAATAAACAAAATCGTAAAAAAAAAAAAAAAAAAACAACTTTAAAGAGTACAAAAAGGGTTGTAACAAAAATTTGATCTTTTTTCCATCCCAGGGTAGCTCTCACTGTCTTGCATATGTTTCTTCCATTTCCTAAGGCAGGGATTGACATGTTTTCTGTGAAGGGCCGGATAGCAGATATTTCTCCAACTTTGTGAGTCCTACTACTTCTGTCGCAGTTCCCGAGCTCTGCTGTTGTGCAAAGCAGCAGCAGACAGTAGTACGCAGAAAGTGGCTAGGCAGAGTGCCAGGGAACCTTCATTCCCACAGACAGGCAGTGGGCCGTTGTCTGCTTACTGCCCTTCTGAGCGTACGTGTATCTGCAGAGGTAGTCACATCTGTAAGTTTTTCAAACGTGCGTAACGACACTGTTCACAGTACTTCATATATGTAGGAATGTCTGTATCTTGGAAATCATTTCATACCAGCCCATGTAGATTTATTTACTCCATCTATTTTATATGTATATTTTTTATTTTACTGACTTTTATCAATATGTTTGGGTAAGCTTTTATAGTCATACACAAAAATGACATGACCAGTGGTTAAATCCTGCTTTTTTAAAAGATTTTTAAAAATTTTTACTTTCTCTCTCTTTTTTTTAATTAGAGAAAGAGAAGGAGGGGCAGAGGGAGAGGGAGAGAGAATCTTAAGCAGGCTCCACACCCAGCACAGAGCCTGATGCGGGGCTCGATCTCACGACCCTGAGATCATGATGTGAACCGAAATCAAGAGTTGGACGCTAAACTGACTGAGCCACCCAGGTGCCCCAAGATTTTTTTAAATTTTAATTCCAGTAAGTTAACCTACGGTGTTACATGAGTTTCAGGTGAACAATGCAGTGATTCAACACTTCCATACATCACCCGGTGCTCATCAGGACACGTGCGCTCCTTGATCCCCATCACCTGTTTAACCCATCCCCCCCTTCCCTCTGGTAACCATCAGTTTGTTCTCTATAGTTTAGGGTCTGTTTTTTTGGCTTGTCTTTTTTCCTTTGTTCATTTGTTTTGTTTCTTAAATTCCGTATGAGTGAAATCATATGGTGTTTGTCTTTTTCCGACTGACTTATTTCACTTAGCGTGATACTCTCTAGCTCCATCCACGTCATTGCCAATGGCAAGATTTCATTCTTCTTAATGACTGAGTAATACTGTATATATCTGCCACATCTTCTTTATCCATTCATCAGTCAATGGACACTTGGGCTGTTTCCATAATTTGACTGTTGTAGATAATGCTGCTATAAACATATGGGTGCATGTATTCCTTGGAATTAGTATTTTTGCATTCTCTGGGTAAATATCCAGTAGTGCCATTACTAGATCATAGTGTAGTTCTATTTTTAACTGTTCAAGGAATCTCCAGACTGTTTTCCACAGTGGTTGTACCAGTTTGAATTCCCACCCACAGTGTAAGAGGGTTCCCCTTTCTCCACATCCTCACCAACACTTGTCATTCCTTGTGTTTTCTATTTTAGTCATTCCGACAGGTGTGAGGTGATATCTCATTGTGGTTTTGGTTTGCATTTCCCTGATGATAAGTGATGTTGAGCATCTTTTCATGTGTCTGTATGTCTTCTTTGGAGAATGTCTGTTCATGTCTTCTGCCCATTTTTTAATTGGATTTTTTTTTTTTTTAAGTAGGCTCCATGCCCAGTGTGGAGCCCAGTGCAGGCCTCAAACTCACAACCCTGAGATCAAGACCTGAGCTGAGCTAGGAGTCTGACATTTAGCCAACTGAGCCAGTCAGGGGCCCCAATTTTGGATGTTGACTTGCATCAGTTCTTTGTATATTTTGGATACCAACCCTTTATCAGATATGTCATTTGCAAATATCTTTTCCCATTCTTAATATTTTATTTTGAAATAATTTCGAACCTATAGAAAAATAATAAGATGAGTACAGAGTACTCTTATATACACTTTCCCTAAATTCATTCATTTTAACTGCTTTATTGAGGTATCATCTGCCTACCATCAAATTCACCTACTTGGGTGCCCCATCACAACCCAGTTGTAGAACATTTCTGTCACTCCCCAAAGTTCCCTCCTGCCCATTTGCAGTTAGTCCCAGCCCCACACAACCACAGATCTGTTTTCCATTTCTACAGTTTTACCTTTTCCTGAATTTTCACATAAATGGTATCATATAATAGGTACTCTTTGGTATCTGGCTCTCTTCACTCATGCATAATGTTCTTGAGGTTCCTTCATGTCAATACTTTGTTCCTTTTATAGGTGTCTTTCCATGGTATACATGTACTGTGTTTTATTTACTACCAATTTTTTAACATTTGCTGCATTGGCTTTTATTTATTTATTTTTTTAAGATTTTCTTTATTTATATGACAGAGAGAGCGAGAGCACAAGCAGGGGGAACAATAGAGGGAGAGGGAGAAGCAGGCTCCCTGCTGAGCAGGGAGCCTGATGTGGGGCTTGATCCCAGGACCCAGGGATCATGACCGGAGCCGAAGGCAGACGCTTAACCCTCTGAGCCACCCAGGCGCCCCGCTGCATTGGCTTTTTTAAACATTCTCATATATCTATCCATTTTCTGGACTATTGAAGTAGGTTGCTTACATTATGCCCTTTTACCCCCAATACTTCAGGGTTTATTTACTGATAGCAAGAATACTCTCTCACTTAACCACAGTGCGTTGTCATATTCAGGAAGTTTAACGCTGGTGCAATGTTTTTGTCTAATCTGACGCCCATATTCCAAATTCATGGGCGGGGGACCTGGGTGGCTCAATCGGTTGAGTGTCTGACTCTTGATCTCAGCTCAGGTCTTAACCTCAAGGCTGTGAGTTTAAACCCCACGTTGGACTCCACACTGGGCATGGAGACTACTTTAAAAAAATAAAATAATAAAATAAATTAAAATTCCTCGGTTATTTCGGTAAGGAGCTACATAGAATGTTCCTGCCTCCCGGAAGCAGGATCTAACCCGGGGTCCCATATTACATGTCACGGCCCTGTAGTCTCCTTTACTGTGGACTGAGACCCCAGTCTGCTTTGTCATTCATGATGTTGAGATACTTGAAGAGTACAGGTCAGTCATTTTATGAAATGTTGCGAATTTGACTTTGTCTGCTGTGTCCTCATGATTAAACTCAGATTATAGACCACCACCAGAATAGCTCATAAGTGATAGGATAGCACATCCTGGGACACACGGTATCCTTCTGCCCCTCCCTGATGAGGTTCATGTTGATTGCCTGCTCAGGGTGTTGCCTCACTCTTCATTGTAGAGGTATTATGTCTCCCTTTGTGACTGATAAGCAGTCTGTGGGAGACACTTTGAAAGATCCTGCTCCTTACCAAACATTCCCCCCTCGATTGACCCATCTGTGAATGATTCTTGCTCCAGAGTTTACATTATCCTCTATAATAGCCGCGTAGTAGTCCATTATGTGGCTCCGCCACAGTGTATTTCATTAGTGTCCTACTGATGGTCATTTAGGTCATTTCCAGTTTTTTGCCATTAAACAATACCTCAGTGAACACCAGCATAGATGTGTGTTTGGGGAGTGTGAGAGCGTACCTGAAGAGTAAATTCTTCATTGTGGACTCACTGGGTCAAAGAGCAGGTGCATTTTAAAACTGTAATAGGTTTTGGGGACACCTGGCTGGCTCGGTTGGTAGAGTATGCAACTCTTGATCTCAGGGTCATGAGTTCAAGCCCCACGTTGGGTATAGAGCTCACTTAGAAAAAAAAATTTTTTTAAATAATAAAATTTTAATAGGTTTTATTAGGTGGCTCTGTATTAGTTTGCTGGGGCGGTCATAGCAAAGTACCACAAACTGGGTGGCCTACACAACAGAAATTGGTCATCTTAAAGTTCTAGAGGTTAGAAGTCCAAGACCGAGTTGTCCGCAATTTAGTTCCTCCTGGGGGCTGTCGGAGAATCTGTACCATGCCTCTTCCCCAGCTTCTGGCGGTTTACTGACAATCTTTGTGTTCCTTGGCTAATAGATGTGTCACGCTGCCGTCTGCCTTCATCCTCACACAGCGTTCTCCCCGTACCCGTGTGTCTCCGTGTTTGAATTTTTTTTTTTCTGTGTTTAAATTTTTGTAAGGGTGGCAGTCCTATTGGGTGTGGGGCCCACCCTGCACCAGTATGACCTCATCTAAACTAATTACACTTGCAGCTACCCTACTTCCAAATAAAGTCACCTTTTAAGGTATTGGAGGTTAGAACTTCAAAATATGAATTTTAGAGGGGGGACACAGCAATAACAGACCCTCCAAAGAGAGTCTGATTTGTACCCCAGAAGCTCCTTTCCTGCCTGCAGTTGTTCTTTAGAAGTCATATCTTACTCTCAAAGTTCTTCTTCTTCTTTTTTAAAGACTTTATTTATTTGAGAGAGAGAAGGAGAGCACAGAGTGAGAGGGAAAAGCAGACTCCCTGCTGAGCAGGGAGCCCAACGTGGGACTCGATCCCAAGACCCTGGGATCATGACCTGAGCCGAAGGCACCCCAAAGTTCTTCTGAAGTTTAAAGCAAGAAGAGGGGCGCCTGGGTGGCTCAGTCGTTAGGTGTCTGCCTTCGGCTCAGGTCCTGATCCCTGGGTCCTGAGATCGAGTCCCATATTGGGCTCCTTGCTCAGCGGGGAGCCTGCCTCTGCCTCTCCCTCTGCCTCCTCCCCCCTGCTCATGCTCTCTGTCTCTCTCTCTCTCTCAAATAAGTAAAAATAAAAATAAAATAAAATAAAATAAAAAAGCAAGAAGAGGCAATGAGAAATGGAGCCTTTATAAGGCCCAGGATGACCCGTGTGGAGAAGCAGGCAGGACTGCGCCCCCAGTGCGCGTGGGGTGGGGGCGGATGATCGCGTCAGTGTACGACTCTCCCCAACTGACCAGGTACAGCTGAGGATGTACAGTGCAGGGATGTGGGCATGGAGAGGAGGGAGGGCTCTTTGCTCCCCTCTGCAGCAGCCAAGGGACTAAAAGGAGCTTTGTGTGCACCTGAGTGGAGAAGCGGACATGGAGTAGGGCCAGCAGGGGGTTATTTGATCAGAAATCAAGTTAGAACAATGAAGGCCTTTCTCTAGTCTAAAAATCCCAAAGGTGATTTGGGGCTCTCAGGGACCAGCAAGGAGAGGCAAGGACCCATCACCCTGCCCTGCAGAGACAATGCAGAAGCAAGATCTCTGGGCTTGGACTCTGAAAGTCTGGATTCCAGCCCTGCCTTTGCCCTATATCAGGCCATGACCCTGAGCAAGCCACTCAGCTGCTCCAAATCCTGGGTGTTTCTTCTACTACTGGGGTGATGTGAGATTCACGTGAAGTAACACACATGAGGGTGATCTTTCTCCAGTGAGAAGAAAATAAGTTATTTATTATTTATTACTCGTGTCCTTTGCCTCGGAAAGTTGGCCTCTGCCTATGATCCAGATTTTTTCCAGGGCTCTGAAGTCCATTTTCTTCTGAAAAAAGAGCCTAACATTCCATGGGCCTACTATAAATATGATCAGATATTCTCTGTGTTCTATGGACCATCTCCAGTGCAGAATCCAAATAGCAAAGGCTTTGGGGGCCCTTTATTTTATGGCCTTTTGCTTCCCAAACATCTGGCTCTTTTTCTGCTCTGTTGTCAGCATTTGATGTCACCAACCCCATGCCTTCCAGGCTGAATTCAGCCTCCCTCTTCTTTGGACCCCTGTAGGTCAGCCACTGTGCTGTACAGCTGCAGGATAGCAGTGCACATTGTTGTCTACATGAATCATGCCCACTGAATTTGGGCAGTGTACAGCCCGCACAACTGAACTTGGCAGCCTTTCCTGAGATTTCTGCACATCAGTTCAAGTATTTCCCCTCTGTGTTTAGTCCACCAGAATGGGGGGGCCTTGTGCAGATATACAAGGTCCCTTCATCCTGCCCCCACAGTGCCTAGGATGCAGGAGACCCAGAGTATGAGTGAGTGAGCAAGCAAGCAAGAAAGTAAATACACTAGCAAAGGGACAAACCAACTTATGGCCTATACATTTAAGTCAGCTAACAGATTTATATTGAGCACCTGGTATGTGCCTGACGCCGTGTTAAGCCCTGGGGATACAGCAGGCACCGAGACAGACAGGATTCCTGAGCTCCAGCAACTTCTAGTCTGCCTGCCATTATAACGCCTGGCAGAGCTTGAACTAGTGTGAGGTCGATCATGTGAGTGCAGGGTTGGATTCTGTCTTTATAATTTTTATATTTTTTGTTCATGGTGGATCTTTTTGCATTAATGTCTATTTTTTTAAATACTGCATTAAAATCTTCATCTTAATTCGTGAGTTTTTTGGAGGCTGCTTAAGTTTTGTGCCCAAGGCAAGTGCCTCACTTCCGTCACCCTAGTCTTGGCCCTGGCCCGAAATGGGATGGAGGAAAATCGTTTGACCATCTACATGAATGTCCTGCCCAAGAAATAGCTGATTTGGTTCCCATAGACGTGCGTACCTCATGAAGGTCCATTTGGCTATTTCCCATATGTCTGAGTGACCATGGGGAATGCTGGATTTGACCAGTGTAACAGTGTCAGAGCTAGAGGCTCATGTGGGTATTCTTGAGCTATGGGTTCTGACCTCTCTGCAGGATAGACATTCAGTGTTCATGCTGTGACCTGTTGACTCCACCTGCATTTCCTCCGGGGATTTTTCTACAGAAGCTGGGCTTTATTTCTGCCCAGTTGCCGCAGCAGCCTTCCCTGTGAGTGCGGGGCAGGCAGAGGTGTCTGATTCCTTCACGGGGTGCCCCTCTCACCAAGCTCCCCATCAGCTGCTCCTATTTGTGGCCCCGGGAGGTGCTTTGCTATGCTCCGTGCTCCGTGCCTTGGCTGAGGCATGCTGCCCTCGACCCCCAACTTCCCAGGTGGAAAATCTTGGTTTTAATGCTCTGGGTTGACCAGAATGGAACTCAAACACAGACAGCACATGAGTTTGTTGGGGGTCTTGCTTTTGCATTGAGGATGAGAGGAGGGGTCCTCTTGTGCAGGATGAGTTGAAGGTAAAAGCGATGACAAACGGGGAACAGATGCAAATCTGACGCTATAGGACGGTGTTGGGGAGGAAACCTTGGATGGGTGTAAATAGCAAGGTAACCCAGGTGACAGATTAAGTGCGTTGTTCGGAAAGGGTCAGCCCTTGAGAGTGGTGCCTTTCTTATCGGAAGAGCATTCTTCATTATTCACAAACTCCAGGGCCCGTGGTCACACAGCTCTGGGGACCCCCAGAAGACCCTCAAAGAGACACTCCCACCTCCCCCAGCTTGGGATAATTAGCCTTCACCTCCTGTGTCTTCCATGTGTGCCCTTCCCAGAGCTGGCCTTCTCTAGTCCAGCCTGATCGTGTCCGTCCCTAACACAGCCCCGTGGCTCCCCACTGCCCTCAATTGGAGGCGTGACCCCCCATCTCTCCACCACGCCATCCTCGCTCCCTGTGTACTGTCTCAGCATCAGGTTAACTGCCATCCCCTGCCCTTGCCGTGACCTGCCCCCCTCTTCACGAATCCTCCTCCCCTGTGCACTCTCAGCTCCCAGGATGCTCCCCACTCTCAGAGCCCTCATCTGCTGACCAGTTTGGCTTCCCTACCAGACCGAAAAACTTCCTCCTGGGCAGGGACTGTGTGTTTCCACTTCAGTAATGCTGGCAACCACACAAGTTTGGGCACCAAATTGCAGAATAAGGCATGCAGTCACTCCTGTCAGCGAGCCACGTGCCCCGACACTGAAGTAACTTGGTCCTAAAAATCACCTCTGCCAGGCCTGGTCCGGCGTCTGGTCCCCTGAACACACACGGGCATCTGAGGCTTTTCTACCTAGCATCCTCTCTTGTCCTGCAGGTGCTCGACGTGTCTGGCGCTGACATGTTGGCCAAGTCAATCGCCAACTGCCAGGTGGAACTTCTGGAAAACTGTGGGCACTCAGTGGTGATGGAGAGGCCCAGGAAGACGGCCAAGCTCATCGTCGACTTCTTAGCTGCTGTGCACAGCACAGGCAACACCAAGAAGCTGGACTGAGACCCCACCTGCAGCCTGCACTCACACACAGCATCCACCCCCATCTCCAGAATCAGACACGGCCACCATTTCTCAGGGATCCTGCCCCAGACGTGGTCGGAGTGCCGGCGTCCCTGAGGAGGCCAGTCCCCTGTCCCCGGTCCCGACAGATCCACAGTGCTTTGGGGGCCACAAGGAAATCTCCAAGATATTTTTCACAATATAGAAACTCACATGAGACAAAATTAAGAAAACCTAGCCAGAGATCTACCCAGAAGTCTTCAAGTCGTGTTGCAAAGCAGCTGCCTTGGGACCGTAATCACCGAGGCCATTTTCTTTAAAACATCCTTCACAGACTGAGACTCGAGGTTTTTCTGCTGCTTCGATGTTCTCCCCTGCATGGTCAGTGGCTGTTTTAGGAGCATTAGTCTCCATCTGCTGAGCCCTTCTTGTTTATGTCTAGTTTAAGTTTTATGTAGAGGCCCCTATGAATGCAAGTCTGTCAGCTGGAAGACCAGGGAGCAAGATGCAAACTATAAACGATATTAGCCCGCGAGGAGGGGTGCGGTCCCACATCTGCGGCCCCCTAGCTGCCGGAGCAGTGGAGAGCACGGGTCGGGGCGCTGATGGGCCCCTGCACGTCAGCCCTGTCATGAGGGAACCCGCAATGGTCGCCATACGAAGAACAGGGTGGGTTTCCTGGGAATCAGCGATTATTTTTTAAAATAGGACTAATGAAGCAATAATGTTCTGTAATCAGACCTGGATTCCACACACAGGCACCTTGTAGGCATCTTTTCTATCTTGCTGCGCTACTGAAGACCCTTGGGTGTAAAATACTAGTTTGTTAATGAATTCTGTGAATTCTGTGAACAGTCATGTGATTGAAAATAAGTCTAAACAGCTGTAAAAGTGACCACAATGTCATGAAATAAATTTAATAAATCTAGATCAGCAACATGCAGATGGTTTCTGTTCCTAAGCTCCTATTTAAGTACAACGTTGGCAGATTTCCTGTTAACTTTAAGAAGCGTTTTTTCACGTAAGGCTTCTTCTAAGGCACTGGAAGACCTTATTTGGATGAGTTATTAGTTTTCTTTTAAGAAAATCATGTTTGTCATTTTTATTCAGCTGAAATTGTATATCAGAAACAAAAGGTAGGTCATCAGACTGTTCCTTTTGACCCTTGTCTGTTGTACTGAGGAGCCCTTAAAATTCCCAGAGCTTCAGGGCACCTGGGTGACTCGGTTAAGCATCCGACTCTTGATCTCAGCTCAGGTCTTGATCTCAGGGTCGTGAATTTGAGCCGTGTGCTGGGCTTCATGCTGGGCATGGAGCCTACTTAAAAAAAAAAAAAAAAAAATCCTCAGAGCTTGAATCCACCAAGTCTTTTTACAGAATCTGCAGCCAAGTAGTTCTGGAAATAAAATGAGATAAATTTTATAGTTTAAATCAAAAACTATAGTTATAGTTTAAACTTTATATTTTAATTTATCAGAGAAGGACAGAACACAGATCTTAAAAACAAGAAGATATGAAAATGTGATGTCTCGGACAGGCGGGCTGCAGCTAACCCAGTGTTCAGAGGGAATGTTAGAGCCCTCAGTACACATATTAGCAAAGAGGAGGGGTGGCTGGCTGGCTCAGTCGGTGGAGTGTGCAACTCTTGATCTCGGGGTTGTGAATTTGAGCCCCACGTTGGGTGTAAAGATTACTTAAAAATAAAATCTTTTTTAAAGAGTCTATTTATTAGAGAAAGAGCACACAAGCAGGGGGAGGGGGAGAGGGAGAAGCAGACTCCCCACTTCCTGTGAGCAGGGAGACCGATGTGGGGCTCAATCCCAGGACCCCAGGATCATGACCTGAGCTAAAGGCAGATGCTTAACCAACTGAGCCACCCAGGTGCCCCTTAAAAATAAAAAATTTTTAAAAAATCATAAATCAGAAACCTAGAAAAAAATAGAAGGAAATAATACAGGTGAGAGCAAAAATCAATGGCATGGAAAAAAGAGTAGATACTAAACACACTGCTTGTTCCAGTCTTTCATGTTCATTAGGAATTCTGAGTTTAATGCGGTCCTGGGGACAGGGGTCAGTCTGGGTGGGTTTGGGTGATGAGGGACGGTGCCCAGGGTAGCTGAAGACGCCTCCAGCCTGGGGTAAGTCCTGCAAATTGGAAAGCGTACTAGGTGCAGGAATTGTTACGCCCTGGGTGAACGGCAGCTGAGGATCACATCCACAGTCGCTGCTGCATTGCACCCACACTGGGCCCATCCAGGCCGCGGTGTGGGCTGCCCGTCCCACCAGGAGGACAGTGGGCAGGGTCTGCAGTGGCAGGATGCAGACCCCGCCTCCTCTGCTGTCACGCGAACGCATCAACGGGAAGTCATGAGCAGAGCATATGAAAGAGTCCTTCGGACAGACCTAAAAACTGGGTTGTTGTGGTTCTCCCTTGGGCCTGCACTTCTGGCCCCACCGTGTTAGGAAGACTTGAAAGCAGACACGCACAGCTCCCCTTTGGCACCCCACGTTTTGCCTTTGTGATTACGAAGAGCTTGCTGGTGACCGCCAGCTGGCTGCCCCCCAAAACAAGGCCCACTGGACCATGTGGTGGCGCCTTTAACGGCAGTCTTGGAGAGAAGAAAAGGGTCATTCAGCACAGCCTTGCCTGAAAGACTGCCAGAAGTTTCTGCAGTCAGATGCTCTACCACTGAGCTATACCCCTGCCAGAAGTTTCTGAAGTGACAGTGGAAAGCCCCGAGAATCACAAGCAGACTCACTACCCCACTTCCTGGAATGGGGCCGTCAGGGCTGCTGAGGATGGACCCTGCTGGGCAGGCACTGAGGGAGCTGAGGCCCAGGCCCTGGTTAGCTCTCAATTTGCCATCAGTCTGGGCTTCTTGTCCAGCGCAGACGCAGCACCAGGAGTGACTGAGGCAAGGAACACAAGAGTTTGATGGTGCTGCCCGTGCGTTTAAGTCTGCCTTCCGTTTGAGGCCCCATGAGTATTCCCCATCCCAGGGAACCTTCCTTGTTGTTTTTTCCAAAGGAAGTTCCCAGAAGGTACTGGGAGATTATAAGGTGGGTCAGGCCAGCTGATGCTCTTCCAAGTATGTTTCGTGCATCATCGTAACAAGTTCTCACACACCCCTAAAAGGTACATACAACCTGTGCCCGTTTTATTTTTATTTTTTTAAGCTGTGCCCATTTTACAGCCAGACAACTGAGGCAGGGAGAAGTGAACTATCTTGCCCAAGGTCACACAAATAACAAGTAGAGAGAGGCGCCTGGCTGGCTCAGTGGGTGGAGCATGCAACTCTTGATCTCAGGGGTGTAGGTTCGAACCCCACGTTGGGTGTAGAGATGACTTGAAAATAAAAAAATAAAAAATCTTTTAAAAAAGATTAAAAATAAAAAGAGATAGAGGGGTGCCTGGGTGGCTCAGTTGGTTAAGCGTCTGCCTTTAGCTCAGGTCATGATCCCAGGGTCCTGGGATCGAGCCCTGCATTGGGCTCCCTGCTTGGCGGGGGGCCTGCCTCTCCCTCTCCCACTCCCCCTGCTTGTGTTCCCTCTCTCGTCTCTCTCTCTCTCCTTCTGTCAAAATAAATAAAGTCTTTAAAAAAAAAAAAAGAGACAGCTTATGATTGAAGGTGACTTTGCAAAAACAATGTTTTCACCGGTTCAGGCAGGAGCTCTCTGGCCCAACTTCCAGTGGAGCCTGGGGCCCTGTTGACTCACCTGCACCAGGCCAGTGTGGGGCAGCTCCGGCCACCATCACTGAGGTCACACGCCCCAGGTCCCTGCTGAAGACGGTGACCCAGTTGTTCACTCAGCAAATAGTTAAGGCTATCCCAGTGCCCAGCCTCCTGCTAAGTAGGAAACAAGCTTACCTACATTCCAGCATCTCAGGGGCCTCAAGGGACAGCCTGCTCATCTTTCAGTCTCTTTAGTAACCAGGACTTGTGTCATGCCCTCCCTGGAAGGGCTCATTCACCTTGTTGATAACCCTCATCTCTCTACCATACTCAGGTGAACCAACGGGGCCCCAGATCATCAGTGTTCCTTGCCCAAAGGAGTTTTCTGGAGGGGAGGTCTCTGCTTCTTGCCCCTTGGGGTCAGGCTTGGAAAGCAGTCAGTTGATTTGGCTCTGCTCCTGGCTGCCATTCCAGAAGTGGCCCGAGGCTCTGCCTGGGATCAAGTTCAGGCTCCCTTTGAAGGGGGTCAACTCCCCGGACTTTATACCAGCCAGGGCTTTCCCACTGCCTTCAGAAAAATTTTTAGGTTTTAATTAAATATAAATGCTGACTTTAGCTCCCTCATTTACTTCCCAAGCCCTGGATATATCGATCTCAGGACAATCATTAGTTGGTTCATGAAATAAACATTGTTCTAAAATGATGGATGCAAATTTTAACATCTGCATGTACCAGCCTTCTGCTTTGGGGACTTCCTGTCTTAGATTGAGAAGTCTTTTATTAAAAGTGGCAATTCACTGGGTCTGTTCCAAAAATGTTTGCTGAAATACTCTTTGGCCAGGTTTGGGATTTTTTTTTGCTTTTGTTTTTGTTTTAACTCTTAGTCTGTCTCTGTCTCTCCTCTACTCCTCCCTCACCCCATCTGTTTCATCACTTTATCTGTCTCCTATCCATCTGTCTGTCTCTTTTACCCATGCACACAGGCACACAGAGACACACACTCCCCTGACAGGTGGGAGCCTGGCTCTTCTGATCCTTCATTTTGTATGTCTTCGACACGACTCCTTGAACCATACAGACTGGGCTTTCTCACCAGCCGCTTCTCTCTCCCCCCGCCATAGTTGGATGATGTTCGTACAACCCCTCCATCCCTGAAAGGAGGCAAAAAAGTAGAGAGGGGGTGGAAGTGGTCACAGATGGGGCAGTGGAGATGTGCTCACATTACCTGCTGAAGTCGGGACCAGCTACCCTGGGGCTCTGGAGTGGAGGTCACCAATAAGCGGGCCTGTGGTTGCCTGTGATGGGATGAAGTCTTGCATGACCATCACTAGCCTAGTCGGGGACAGGATATCAGATGGCTCCTTTTAGCAACAGGAAGGCCCTTCTCCCTTGGCTCCTAGAGGAACCTTTCCTTCATGGCTTGCTGGATCTTTGGTCTCTCTATCCTCCAGGCAATGACCAGGAACCTTAGGGCACACCTAGGGGGTGTCCAAGCTCCAGCAGGGGATGGGAAGAGAAGGAAGGATTCTTAGGGGCAAGAAAGAGGCAACTATTGACATGAGTATAGGTCTACAATCTCTTACCAAACCTCCAAGAGCCAGATGTGATTCCAAATTCAGAAAGTTTCCCATTTTAGAAAGGTATTAGGGGGTGTACACCACAGATTATGTAACATCCCCAGTGGGGGCTGGGGCTGCCTTATATGATCAAATGCATTGACATTTCTGCTGTGCAATGTATGAATATCCACAGTAAATGGGACAAAATCTATAAAAATCTTCATCTCTGTTCAGATTAAGCGTTGGGTGCCACACGAAGAAAGATTTGGTTTCCATGTTTTTCTTGGATTTCAGAATTGCGGATAAGGGATAGCAGGCCTCCACTCCCTGTTTCCTCTCTCCTGCCTCGGGGTTGGGCGTTGGGGGAAGAGTTGGGGGGCAGGAGGGGGCACCTTGAGGAAGAGTTGGTTCTTCCAAGTGGGAAGAGAGGCATACAAATGGGTGTGGTCCATGGCTCCCTCTTGTGACTATTAGGAGCAAGTCTTGATTTTTATTTCACAATTTTTTACTTGACAATTATTAAATTATACAAATAATGCCCTGTCACTTTAAAATAAATAAAACAAAATGAATGTTTAAAAATTATGCTTATACATACATATGCATCAACAGAGAGGCCCCTACGGCTGGTTTATTGGTGTGTGTGTGTTTGTGTGTGTTTTACATAAATGGGGTCATGCTGGGCATTACTGTTGCCCACCCCTCACCCCTTGCTTGTTCTTTCCACTTACCTCTATGTCTTGGGCCTCTTATAGTTCAGAACCCACAGATCCCCCAGGTTCCCATAGTGGAGATGCAGAGGCCTCCAGAGGAAGGGGGGGTACAGTGAGGGTGGACTTCTTTGTAGGAACCTGCTGAATCCCTCAGAAAGGATCTCTGAATTTTGAGAAAACTTCTTGGGCCCCTCCAGAAACAGGCTGCTTAATTACAGGGTGGTTATCCCTTCCTCAAATTCTCCCTTCCTAGGGTCCTAGAGCCTTTTTTTAGGGGAGAAGTTTCTAAGGTCACTTGTAAGGAAAGCTTCCGCCATCATTTAAATACATTTCAGAAATGCTGGATGAAACAAAGTTAAATAGCCTGGCTCCCACTCCAGCCCCCAACACAAGCAGGGACTGACTGGGAAAAAGCAAAAACATCCTCAGAAGGCAGCCAGGGATGGGGCCGGGCAGGGGCTGAGGCAGGGACCAGGCCAATGTGCTACTCCCCTGGATCATTTTGGGCAGGAGCTTCTGGTCTTTTTTACCATTGACTGGTGAGCTGCCTCCCCAGAGTCCTTGCTGCAGCACGTGCTGCTAATGTCCCCTTCCCAGATCCCTGTTACTGACTGCTGCCCCCCCACACACACCTGCTGTGAGGACTGGCTGCTGAGGAAACACACCTGCCCTTCTCCCAGAGAACCACGCTCCGACGACAGGAGATGCCTGAGAGGTGGTGCCCCATTCTCTTCCTCTCACCTCCTGGGGTTACCAGACAAAACACAGGATGCCCAGCTAAATTTAATTTCAGACAATGAACACTTTCTTAGCATGAGGATATCCTATTCACTGTTTATCTGAAACTCAAATTGAACTGGGCAACTGTATTTGCTAAATCTGGCAACCCTACAGCTGGCAGTCAATGACTGGGGGTGGGGGGAGGCAGGTATGATGAAGGCTTGGCCCCCTTGCCTCCAAGGCTGGAAGCTTGCTGGTGTCATTTATGTTCCAGGGCTCCTTGTGGGATCAGCCTGAGGCTGGGCTTCAGCTGAACCCACATCTTTGCTTAGCTCCTTCCCCTGCCCATCCTGCTTTCCTCCTCCCTTGCAGGTTTCCCCTGAGAGCTGCCCCCAGTCAATTACTTCCACGAGGATCCCTGTCTGAGGCTTGGCCTCCGGGGACTCAAAAACATGCCTACTTCTCAATTTCCTGTTTGGAGAGGATGCTCAGGGTTGCCTCAAAGAGCAACTTCCGGCCTTGTCATCCATCCCATGGGTTCTGAGGCTTCTCGCCACCTTAGACAAAGAATTTACCCTCTCTAAACTCCTTTCTTTTTTTCATCTGTGAAAGGCAATAATGTGACATTGCAGGGTAGCTGGGATAACGTGAGCAAGTGCTCTGGCACTTGGCAAGTCTCCCTAAATGGAAACAACAGCTGTCGTTCCACAGCATTTTAGCTTCTGGTCATTTTCACTCCCTTTGTCCTACCTTCCCAATCTTCTTACATGAGTGGATATGATTCCCATGAGTCTGATGGAGATTTGTGGCTGTAATCCTACTTGGGCCTCTCTCTTGCCTTTTCTTCCCAAGGCTGCGAAAGCACCTCAGTTTTAGCAAAAGTCATTTGGCACCAGTTCACAAGACGGGGGGGTGGGGGGAATAAAAGCTCAACACAGCAGTGGGGAGGAAGTGTGGACTCAACTCTTTCTTGGCTGCCATAGCTTCCAGGACCATAAAATACTCGCCGATCTGCCCCAACAACTTTGCTCTGAAATGTCAGAAACACAGTGTCTGGAATGGCCATCTTGAGCCAAATGACTCCACCAATGCAATGCTGGGCAACTTTTATAAAAACTGAGGCAGGTTCGTGTGTTATGTTTTAGAGTGATGTTAAGATACATTGTTAAGAGGGGCGGCTGGGTGGCTCAGTCCTTAAGCATCTGCCTTCAGCTCAGGTTGTGATCCCAGGGTCCAGGGATCAAGCCCCGCATCGAGCCCCGCATGGGGCTCCCCGCTCAGCGGGGAGTCTGCTTCTCCCTCTCCCTCTGCCTGCTGCTTCCCCCCTACACACACACTTCTGCTCACTCTCTCTGTCAAATAAATAAATAAAATCTTAAAAAAAAATAAATATTGTTAAGAAGGGAAAGCGCCCCTACCGTATCTCTGGAAGGACACTTAAGAAACTCCTACCCGTGGATGCCCCTGGGGAGAAAGGCTGGCTGGGTAAGGGGTGGGAGGGAGACTTGCTTTACATTGTTTATCCCTTTATACTATCTGAAATGTAGGCCACATGCCAACAGTATCTATTAAGAAAATAGATACCATTTAACTAAAAAACTGTAGTTATCATTCAAAGGTATCTCTTTTATTCTAAACTGAATTAATGAGGCAACACAGAAAATTCAGGCAGCTTGGAAGGCACTTCATTTTCAGGGTTTGGTGCAGAAAAGTGAAAATTATCCAAGTTCTTTGAAGTCTAAAATACATGAGCTGCTCTGTTTTTTCTGGGCTGCAGCCTGGCAGGATGGGTTTGCCAGGTGGCTGGTTTTGGGGACCCTCTTCCATTACTAAGTGTTTCCTGAGCCAGATACTTTACACCAACTATTTTTTCCTCACAACTCTGAGGTAGATGCTACTAATCTCTCCAGGTGACAGATGAGGGGGATGAATAAGTGGCAGAGGATGTATTTGGAGTGAGTTTTGGCAGTTTCTGAAATCCAACCTCTTTTAAGAAAGAAAATGCCACTGTGGGGTCTGTGTTGATTTCCTCTACATCTCCCCCAATCTGGAACAAGTCCTGTCTCCTCTGAGAAGAGAAGGAAGGGAAGCAGAGCTGCAGAACCGGAGAACATGACTATAGCCAAGCCTGAAGTTGCAGGAAACAGCAGAAAGTGGAATTTTGAGAAAAGACACAAGAGAGAAGGTCCCAGCTGACTCCGGCTCCCGCATGCCTGTGCAGGGTAACCTCTGCCCCCAACCCAGGCAGAATCAGCACACCCATCTATGAACTACTGCATTCGCTAAGTGTGTGTTGAGTGCCAGGCACTGGAATGCAATGGTGAGCCAACACAGACAAGGCCCCCATGCTCATGGGGCTTACACTCAAGTTTTGGCAGCCCCAGCCCCTCTCCCATACACACCCCTGATGGATGCCACACAACTGGTGGTAGTACGGTGCAGTATGGAGAGCATGATCTAGAGTCAGACCGCCTGCTCCACCACTTACAACTGTGTGATCTTGGGCAAGTAACAGCCTCTTGGGCCTCAGTCTTCACCCCTGTAAGATGGGGATGATCATAGTAATAGCTACCTTAGGATTGTGTGAGAGTTCCAGGAGATAACATATGAAAAATTTTTTTCATGGCGCCTGGCCCAAAGAAAGTACTTGATAAATATTAGCTGCTATTACTACTACTGCTGCTGCTGCTGCTGCTGCTGCTGCTGCTATTACTACTATTACTATTATTATATACAAACACTACCTGTTTCACGAATACAGGGCCATATCTTCTTGTTCTCCGCTGAGTTCCCAGTACCTAGCACATAATTGGGACTTAGCATGAATAAAGGCATAGATGAAACCTGGCTTACATTTGAAGATACGACATTCTGGATCTTATGTCAACCCAGATAGATAACCTACTATGTGCTGGGAGCCACAAGGGACATTAAGAGTGGTTCCCGTCCTTGGGGTGCTTGACAGAAGATGCTCAGCAGAAGAGATGCTAGATATAAAGTTGAATGAATGCATGGATAAATGAATGACTATGAAAGCGAGCTCCTGTGCCGAATAAACACATCCGGAGTCCCGTACCCCATACACACATTCGCTCACAGAGCTTTCTCTGGAGTGGGCACCAGGGGGCACTGAGCTCGGCCAGTCTCAGCTCCTCATCAGGATTCACGCCCAGGTTCTCAGGTGGACGCCGCGCGGTGACGTCATATCCGCGCCTAGACGTCACGCTTCCGGGGCGGGGGCGAAACAGGAGCCAAACGTAAGTATCCCCGGAGTTTTCTGGGCCCAGGGTCTGGCCTTTGCGGGGGGACGCCAAGCTTTGGCGGATTCTTGCAGTGAACAGGAGTCAGGGAGGCGCCAGGTTAGTGCGACCGAAAGCAGGTAAGCGGAAACCCATAGCAGAGCGGCTTTTGCCGGGAGTGAGCTCTGTCGGCCGCGCTGGTGACGCACGGCCTGCGCGCCAAGTGCGCATGCGCAAGGTGGGAGTTACAGCGGGCGGCGCTCGGCCATCTGAGGTACCAAACCTCTCTGGCCCAAGACGCCGCGGGCGGCCGGCGAGATCCGGCAGCGCACCTCCCGGGGCACCTGTATTACGGGGTCTCGGTAGCACATGGTGGCTGCGAGGAGTGAGCGGGACCACGTGTGCAGAGCGCATGCGCCCGGCACCAGGTGGGCGCTAAATAAATGGGGGACGTTAGTCAAAAAAAAGTTGAAAACAACTGAAGTGTCCAACAGTAGGGGACTGGGCTTTTTTTTTTTTTTTAATGATTCGTTTGGCCCCAAACTTATATATTGAACGTATACTGTGTGCACTTTTAGATTCCTAGGAAACAGTAGTGAACAAGATAGAACCCCGTTTCTTGCAGAGTGTACATTCTGTTGTGGGGGAGGGAAGTACAAATAGAGAATAAATGAATTACGTAGTTGTGTTAGAAGGTGGTAAGTGCTATGGGGAAAAAACTAGAACAGGGGCATGGAGGGGCTGCCGTATTAGATAGAACAGCCACCGGACCAAATCGAGGGGTGAGATTTGATCAAAGCCATGAAGGAAGCGAGGGAGCGAGGCATCTGGCTACCTGGAGGAAGAATATTCCCAGCATGTGGAAAAGCTAGGAGCGGAGAGGCGCAGAGACGGGAGGGAAACGGTGTGTGAGGAAGAGCTAGGAGGAGTCTGGTGGAGGGAGTTGAGCAAGGGAGCATGGTCAGGGCTGTTGGAGGCAGCGGTACAGTTCAGGTAAGGCCTTGCAGGGCTTGTAAGTCCTTTGTGTTTACTCTGAGTAAAACGGGAACCATTGCACTGTTTTGAGCAGAGGAATGGCAGGGGCTTGAACAGGTTTTAACTGGCTTGCTCTGGCTGCTGTAGAGACTAGATTGGGGGGTGGGGGGTGGGGAGCAGGTGGAAGCAGGGACACCTATTACTAATAGGTCACTTAATGAGCATCCCTGCAGCCATTACAAAGGCTGGCTTCAAAGATGATAACAAGAGCTATGGAAGTGCTTTCATTGTTGTGGTGAGCCTGGCGGATTTGCCAGGCTGTATGAAGAGTACCCAGGCATCCTCTCCTTTAATCTCGGGACAGCCTGCAGAGGGCAATACTGTCACTGCCTCTGAGGCTGAGGCCTATGTGGAGGGGACTGCTCAGTAAACACTTGTTCCTAAGTCTTTTTTGGTAAAATATACCTAACATAAAATTTACCATTTTTAAGGGTACAGCCTGTTGATGTAAAGTATATTAACACTGTTATGAAACCATTATCACTACCCATTTCCAGAATACTCCTTAAGTCTTCATTGTTATTGGCATCCTGAGCCCCAGGCACAATCTCATTCCCCTAGCTCAGGCAGCCAACTCCCATCAAGGCTGTTGGTAACTGTTAAAAAACACCTGTCATGTGCCAGACAATGAATGAAGTGATTGAGGGTCCTATTCTCCCTGCCCTTCTAGTCAGGGATGACTCTAATGATTGGGAAAGAATCATCAGCTGATTATTTCTGCAGTCTTGAACATACAGGCCTAATACTTCTCACCATTCAGTAAGTGTTTATTGAATACCTACTCTGTGCCAGACACAGTAACTATTCATGTTTTTAAGTGGATGCTTGGATGTAGCTCCTTGACCCTAACTTCTCATTTTCTCTGAGGGCATCATCTAGGAGTGCTTGAAACTGGACCTGACGCAGAGGTTTTGTAAATGCCGGTTTATAGCTATATGACCTTGGCTAATTCCCTTTCCTTGGTTGGACCTCAGTTTTCTGGTTCCTTTAGTGGGGAACCAGATATTGAACAAAGAGTATTAAGAGATTGCATAACAAGTAAATCTAATTTAGAACAAGGTGTCCAAAAGGCTTTCTTGAAGAGGTGAAATTCCTAGGAGAGGTGACCTTTAAGCTAAAATTCAAAGGATGAATAGGGGCTATCCAGGGGAAGAGTGAGGTAGGAGTGGACCCGATGACAGATTCTCCCCAGGGGGGTCAGCATGTTGTGCATTCTTGAAGGATCCAGGTCTATTAGAAATGACATGAGTGCCCATTCCAGGAATTCCTCTTCTCAAACCCCTTGCTGTCTAAGCTCGATCTTTGGCGGGGCGGGGCGGTGGGGGGGGGCGTTTACTATCAAATAGCTCTGTATAGACCTGGCCTTCAGAGAACAGGCAGGTCCAGCATGGGATGGGACAGCAGAACTACCACTCCTCATTCTGTTCATGTTCTGTGTTGACTGAGAGTAAACAAGAAGATCCTGCATTTTATTCCTGTATGCTATTTTTTTTAAAAGATTTTATTTATGGGCGCCTGGGTGGCTCAGTTGGTTAAGCGACTGCCTTCGGCTCAGGTCATGATCCTGGAGTCCCGGGATCGAGTCCCGCATCGGGCTCCCTGCTCAGCAGGGAGTCTGCTTCTCCCTCTGACCCTCTTCCCTCTCATGCTCTCTATCTCTCATTCTCTCTCTCTCAAATAAATAAATAAATAAATCTTTAAAAAAAAAAAAAGATTTTATTTATTTAGCTGTCAGAGAGAGAGAGCACAAGCAGGGGGAGCAGCAGACAGGGGGAGAAGCAGCTCCCGGCTGAGCAAGGAGCCCAATGCAGGGCTCAGTCTCAGGGCCTTGGGATCATGATGTGAGCCTAAGGCAGATGCTTAACTGACTGAGCCATCCAGGTGTCCCCCCCCCTTTTTTTAAATTAGGAGGCATCATACCAGAGTGGTCTTGAGGGGCTCAGGAGTGGTTGGAATCTGTGTGCCCTTGGGCAAGTGTTACCTCTCTGCCAAGCCTCAATGTCCTCTTCTTAAAAATGGAGGGGAAAAAGTGAGAATAATAATAGCTTTTACTTCATGGGATCATTTTGAAGACTTATGACCTAAGGCATGTGGGGCATTTAGCACAGAGCCAGGTACTTAGGGAAAAATGTCCATTGGGATTACGTTATTAGAATTTAAGAGCACAACAGTCTGGCATATATAAAATCTAGAAACTTTCTTTGTGTCTGTATGGGTAAATTTGGTTTGACCAGAAATAAAAGAATTACTATACTAGGAGTTCTTTTAGAAATCAAATGGGTCAAAAAAAAAAAAAAAAAAAAGAAAAGGGGTACCTGGCTAGTTCAGTCAGAGGAGCATGTGACTTGATCTCAGGGTCATGAGCTCAAGCCCCACGTTGGATGTAGAGATTACTTAAATAAATAAGTAAACTTGAGGGGCACCTGGGTGGCTCAGTCAGTTAAGCGTCTGCCTTCGGCTCAGGTCATGATCCCAGGGTCCTGGGATCGAGCCCCGCATTGGGCTCCCTGCTCAGCGGGAAGCCTACTTCTCCCTCTCCCACTCCCCCTGCTTGTGTTCCCTCTCTCACTGTGTCTCTGTCAAATAAATAAATAAAATCTTAAAAATAAATAAATAAATACACTTGAGAAACATCAAATGGGTTCAGGGTGCCTGTCTGGTTCAGTTGGTAGAGCATGAGACTCTGGATCTCAGGGTTGTGAGTTCAAGCCACACAGTGGGTGTAGAGCTTACTTTAAAAAAAAAAAAATCAAAATGGGTTAAATTCTCATTTAAAAAATGGGGGGGGAAAGTGAAAAATAGGTTGTACCTTGCTAATTTGTAGCCCTCTTGATTTTTCATTTCTAGATGTGGTCAGCTTTGGAAAAGATGCCAGCTCCAGCCACCACATATGAAAGAATAGTTTACAAAAATCCCTCTGAGCACCATTATATGAAAGTCCGCCTGTGAGTTCTCCTAAGTTCTATTTGTGACTACATTTTTATGAATCTGAATAGTATGAAACTTGATACATTTTTTTCTTTTTTATGTTTTTATAGAGAATTTCAAGATCGTGGGGTTGGACTGAATGCTGCACAGTTCAAACAGCTGCTTATTTCAGCCTTGAAGGACCTCTTTGGGGAGGTATGAATCACTTGGTAGATTGAACACTCCTAAGATCTTTGTAAGAAATACTAAAACAATGCTTTTCCAAATAATTATTTTAAAACTTTAAAAACATATTTGAAATTGCAGAGCAGACTTTCAAAAATGATGAATTTTGGGTAGGTTTGTTCTAATATGCCTTCTATTTGACAAGGAACTTGTTAGACAAGTGTTTTAGTGCCATGCTACTCCCCAGTATGGTCCAGACCGGCAACCTGCAAAGTTTTTTGGGTTTTTTGTTTTGTTTTGTCTTGTTTTGTTTTAAGATTTTATTTATTTAGAGAGTGTGTGTGAGCAGGGAGAGGGGCAGAGGGAGAGGGAAGGAGAACCCCAAGCAGACCCCACACTGAGCGCAGAGCCCAACCAGGGCTCAGCCTCAGGACCCGAGATCACAACTCGACCCAAAATCAAGAGTCGGACACATAACTGCCTGAGCCACCCAGGCGCCCCGAGCAAACAGTTTTTTTGCCCATTGTGAAGATTTACACCAGAATCAGCACACTACTTCCTTTACTGAAAAAGTCTCCGTAAACAAAAATTGAGATGAACTATCAGAAGAGCTTGGTTAGAGCCCCACGTTGGTGTAGAGATTACTAAAAATAAATAAATAAACTTTAAAAAAAACTGAGCTGAACTAAACAATGTACTTAGTGGTATTGTTGATTTGCATTGTGTTACAGCCTCTTATTTTATCACAGGCCAGCACATTGAGTAGTCCTATTTTAGCATTTACTTGAAAATAAGTAGAATTTTGAGAGAGAACAAAGACAGACGATTCAGGAAATTATTTCCTGATTCATATGTTTTATCAAGTCATAATCTGGTAAGCATCTCATTAAAATTAAAAACGTACACACCACAGCAGACTCAGTTAAGAGGATGAAAAGACAAATTACAGACTGGGGGAACTCAGGCGCCTGGGTGGCTCAGTTGGTTAGGCATCTGCCTTGGGTTCAGGTCATGATCCCAGGGTCCTGGGATTGAGTCCCGCATTGGGCTCCCTGCTCAGCGGGGAGTCTGCTTCTCCCTCTGTTTCCCCGTGTGCATACTCGCACGCTCTCTCTCTCTCTCTCAAAAATAAATAAATAATCTTTTAAAAAATAAAAAGAACTCTAAAAACTCAATAATGAAGAAAACCAAACATTTCAACTTGAAAATGTGTAAAAGACACAAATAGACATTTCACTAAAAATGAGGTACTGTTGACAAAGAAGCACATGAATGAAGAGATGTTCAACATTATTAGCCATTGGGGAAATGCACATTAAAAACACACTAAGCTCCAGAAAACAACAACAACAACAAAACACAATGGGTGCGGGTGCCTGGCTGGCTCAGTTGGTGGAGCATGCGACTCTTGATCTTTTGACTCTTGACTCTTGGTTGTGAGCTTGGGCCCCATGTTGGGTGTCAAGATTATTTAAAAATAAAATCTTTAAAAAATAAGTAAATAAAACACAGTGAGCTATCACTACACACGTAACAGAAAAACTGAAAATAAAAAAAATAGTGATAATACTAAGTGCTGGTGAGGATGTGGAGAAACTGGATCACTCATTCATTCATTCATTGCTAATGGAAATGCAAAATGGCACAGCCACGGGCACCTGGGTGACTCAGTCATTGGGCGTCTGCCTTCAGCTCAGGCATGATCACAGGGTCCTGGGATCGAGCCCCGTGTTGGGCTCCCTGCTCAGTGGGAAGCCTGCTTCTCCCACTCCCCCTGGTTGTGTTCCCTCTCTCTCTGTGTCTCTGTGTCTCAAATAAATAAATGAAATCTTAAAAAAAAATGGCACAGCCACTTTGGAATACCATTTGACAGTTTCTAAAAACAACTAAACATGCATCTACTATACTACCCAGCAGTTAACACACCTAGGCATTTGTCCCAGGAAGTAAAAACTTAACGTTCATATAAAACTTGTATGTGAGTGTTCATAGCAGCTTTATTTGTAAGAGCCCAAAAACAGAAATCAACCAGATGTCCTTCAATGAGTGAGTACTTAAACATTCATGATATATTGATAACATAGAATATAGTGAATAATAAAAAGGAACAAACTATAGATACACATAAAAACTTAACTGAATCTCCAGAGAACTATGCTAAGTGAAAAAGCTAATTCCAAAAGGTGACATTCTGGGTAATCCCATTTGTATCATGCTCCTGAAATAATGTAATTATATAATCTGGAGAAAGGTTCGTGGTTAGGGATTGGGAGGAGGAGTGGGTGTGACTAAAACAAGGTAGAAGAGGAAGAGCGCCCTGTGGCAATGGTGTAATTCTATCTTGCTGATGGTAGTGGTTGCATAAAACTATCTATGTGGTAAGATTGCATGGAAGTATGCACACACGCACACATACACGCACACACATGCACGGACAAATAGGAGTATGTGTATAACTGGTAAAATCTGAATAAACTGGTTTATCAATTTTAGGTTTTTGGTTTTGATATTGTTTGATATTACTGGGGGAGGCTTCATGAAGGGCGCATAGAACCTTCCTGTAAATTTCATTGTAACCTCCTGTGATTCTAATTTTTCAAAATAAAAAGTTTAAGAAAAAAGTGTGTACCTTCTCTGTTGGGTATAAAACCTGGTTCCAGAATGATGAGTATTATGAGAGAGGAAGTGTATGCTTTTTATGTGTGAAACAGCATAGAAAGCAATTGAGCTTAATCTTGGGGATCAGGGATGGAACTTTTTTAACCCTGAGATCAAAAGTCTCCAGCTCTACTAACTGAGCCAGCCAGGCACCCCCAGGGATGGAACAATTTAAACAAAGACTTGAAGGGTGAAGAGTCATTAGCAATATGAAGAGTTACAGGAAGAACATTCTAGACAGGGGTAATTGTAAATAAGCAGTCCCAGTACTACAGCACCACTAAATAAATACTGCTTTTTTGGAGGAGAAAAGCAGTTGGCAGGATTAGTTATTAGACTTTAAGAATAGTGATGATAGGGGCACCTGGGTGGCTCAGTTGGTTAAGCGTCTGCCTTCAGCTTGGGTCATGATCCCAGAATCTGGGGATGGAGCCCTGTGTTGGGCTTCCTGCTCAGCAGGGAGTCTGCTTCTCCCTCTGCCCCTCCCTCTGCTTGTGCTTACTCTCATTCTTTCTCTCTTTCTAGCTTGCTCTCTCTCAAATAAATAAAATCTTTAAAAAAAAAAGGATAGCCCTAATAGGGGTACCCTGCTGCCTCAATCATTGGAGCATGCAATTCTTGATCTCAGGGTTGTGAGTTCGGGCACCACATTGGGTGTAGAGATTACTTTAAAAAAATAAAAAAAAGTGATAATTATAGTCTGCTGATAGTATTTTTCCATACCTAGGTTGATGCAGCCTTACCCTTGGACATCCTAACTTATGAAGAGAAGACCCTGTCAGCCATCTTGAGGATATGTAGCAGGTACGACAGAGGCACCTTTGTAGTATAACAGAGCAGAGAGATGGATGGAGAAATAGAGCAAAAATGCTCTTCTCTAAGAGGAGGCTTGTCATTGTGAGCTCTGAGTAGTTTTTGGAAGTTTAAACTGGGAAGGATATGAACTTTTATCCACCAGGAGCTTAGACTATACAGAGCAAAACTCATGATTTGCTTACAACTGTAGTGTTTCCCAGTTGGTGGCCATGGTTGCAAACTCAAAAATGTGTATTTTATTTATTTTATTTTATTTTTTTAAAGATTTTATTTATTTATTTGAGAGAGAGGATGAGATAGAGAGAGAGCATGAGAGAGGGGAGAGGGTCAGAGGGAGAAGCAGACTCCCTGCTGAGCAGGGAGCCCGATGTGGGACTCGATCCCGGGACTCCAGGATCATGACCTGAGCTGAAGGCAGCCGCCTAACCAACTGAGCCACCCAGGCGCCCAAAAATGTGTATTTTAGAAACATTCCTAATTGAGGTTCATTTTATTCTCTGCTATGACATAATGTGCTTTTACTTTTAAAGTTTTCTCATTTAGTGGTCTCTTTGGCAGCACATCTACTCAAGTTTTCTCATTTAAATTAGGTTTTCTGGACCTAATTTAACTATCTGGCCCATCACAAAAGTACTAGGGAGATGTCACAGAGACAAATCTTCATGCATTCATTCTTGATCTCTCTACAGTGGTCTTGTCAAATTGTGGAGCTCTTTGACTCTGTTAGGATCCTATAAAGGCAAGAAATGTGCTTTCAGAGTGATTCAGGTAAAGACTGTTCCTTCACATATTCCAAACAAGGCTGAGTAGGGGTCAAGCAGCTTTTTCTTTTTCTTTTTTTTTTTAAGATTTATTTATGAGAGAGAGAGTGAGCGAGTGTTCCGGGGGGGAGGGGCTGAGGGAGAGGGGAGGGGCTGAGGGAGAGGAGAGGGAAAGAATCTCAAGCAGACTCCATGCTGAGCAAGGAGCCCGACACAGGGCTCAATCCCATAACCCCAAGATTATGACCTGAGCCAAAATCAAGAGTCAGACACCCAACCAACTGAGCTACCCAGGTACCCCTCAAACTGCTTTTTAGTACATGTCCCATTTTTTGCTTGCATAAATCTAGTGTGGTTAACATTATCCAGTGGCAGCAGTGGGGAGGAATAAGGACTACATTGCTTCTGGAAATGTGAGAGAAAGCACTTAGATTTTAGATTGTATGGGAGATGTTTGGGGATGAAACTTGGAACTCTTGTGGAAAAGTCTTAACTTTTCATTTGTTGCTTAATGCCTGGTGCCTTAAATATTAGGACATGCTTTCTAAACCTACTGTGATCACTTGTGTATCTGAGGATGCTCTTTAAGATGCCACTGCATCAGCTTCGCTTACCCTAGAAAACTAGGCATGTTTCCACACACCCTGTGTTTCAGTGCAGTCTTCTCCCCAGATTTCCTTAACTGTTTTCTTTCTCTTACAGGTTTCTCCATTTCTCCTTGCCTTATCTGGGAATAGCAGGGAACTAGTACTGGATTGAATAGTCTTCAGTTGTAGAAACATCCTTCTCTCAAAAGCATGTTTTGGTGACAATATGCTGTCTGAAGACTGAAGCAGTCTAAAAGCTCCGATTGCTGAAGATGTTCCCCGTAATTTCCCGCCATCATCTGTGGTGGGGTGGGCTTCAAAGGAGAATCTGCCTGAGCCAGCCAGTGGTGAGCAGGCATCACGTTGAGCAGATGCACACCAGAGTTGGAGACCGCGCTGAACTCAGCAGGGCCTTCACACAGAGGGACGTGGCTGCCTTCTCAGAATTAACGGGAGATGTCAATCCTTTGCATTTAAATGAAGATTTTGCAAAATACACCAAGTTTGGAAAGACAATTGTACACGGAGTTTTGGTCAATGGACTTATTTCGGCTCTCCTGGGAACGAAAATGCCAGGGCCAGGCTGTGTATTACTTTCACAGGAAATTAGCTTTCCAGCCCCTTTATATGTTGGAGAAGTTGTTGTAGCTTCCGCAGAGGTAAAAAGGCTAAAGCGGTTCATTGCTGTTATTGCAGTGTCATGTTTTGTAAGAGAAAGTAAAAAGACTGTTATGGAAGGCTGGGTTAAAGTTATGGTCCCAGAAACTCCCCAGTCCTGAAATGTGTTTAAAGATGGACATTCAAGTGCCAATGGTACTGTTCTTGAAGAGCCTCTGAGGAAAAGGGAATGCTGCTCTTCACCAAGGGATGGCCCATAGACCTAGAAGCCCATGTTGGGGGAGGGGAGCAGGTAGAGGGGTGTTCAAAGGTCCATTGTCCAATTTGGCTTTATGCTTCACACAGACTTGAGTATATTCCTCCTCTGTCTAGGTTTTTAAAATTGAAGAAATACCGGGAAAGTTATTTAGCTAAAGGTTCTTTTAGGATTTCACATCTATTAGATTTGTATTTGAATAACACAAACCTGCCTCTATCTGTGCAGAGTAAGTTTGTCACTGAATTTATAACTAGCATTTATTTAATTACTGAAGGCAACAACAGAATTCAGGTCATCTTTGAACACCTATCTTCTACCAGTCAGGGTACTTAGATCCTGTCCTTCAGCAGTTTCTGAGTCAGAGTTTATTGTAATTTGTTACTGTTTACACCACAGTGGCACCTTGTTCTATCTTCAGTGGCATTTGCTTTTCAGATGGCTTTCCTGTGACTGGAGAAGGGCTTACGTGCACCTTTGGACTCATTTATGTAAACTCTCTCAATCTCATGGGATAACAACACCTACCACCCAGGACTGTTGGAGATGCTAGATACAAATAGCTAAGCACAAAGTCCAACCAGTCATCCATTCTCCCCTGTGAATGAAGTTAGAGGTTTTCCCAAGTTTAAAGCAAACTAGCCCACAATTAAACAGGTAACAGACTTCATATTTCAGGATGTCAATCAATTTAAACCTGGAATAGAATTGGAATGCAAAATTTCTATTTTAGTAATCCAGATTATTTTCTCCCTCCCTTGAAAACACTGTGGATTCTCCCCTTTACAAATAATATATGCTTATTGTAAAGATTTATAAATAATAAAAAGTATAAGGAACCCTGTGGAGGCCAAGTTCTTAAGAGTTGAGGGATATTGAAAATTTAATCAGTATTAAAAAAAAAAAGTTGGGTACTGAAGAGGAAATGCGCCTAATGCGTTTGTACTGAGTGGTCATCCCAACACAGGCAACACTTTTAAGAATCTATAACAGAACATCCATCTCTGCTCTGTGGCTTTAGATGGTGGTTCTGATTACAACTAGATGCTTTGATCAGGAAGATCAAGTGTCACTGGTGGGATCAACCCCCATTTTCCGGGAAAAGGTTTTTCCTCCTGGTAGATCAGTAACTAGATTTTTTTTTTTTTTTTTTTTTTTTACATCAAAGGGATAAATTAAGCAGATTACTAGAAAAAAAATCATTCTGGGCACTAGAGGGCAATGATGTGTATAAATAATATTTTTAAACTGTTGAATATTGTACCACCATATCCTAGTCGGTGGATGGTGAGATGAAAATACTAAAATCAACATGAGAAGCAATGATGCCCTCATGAGTTTCAGAAGGGGCTGTTGTGGGGGCTCAGATACACACGAAGACTTATTCATAGGGGAAGGCTACACAAGCTAAAACTTTGATACAACATTGAAAAAAAAATGAGAACTTGGAGCACAAAATACAGACTCGGAGCTAAGACTGTCTGTTCCTGTAGAACTCATTCTCTGGGACTAGTAGCACTCTTGAAGCATAGGTCCATAAATGGAGTGTAATTTGATTATTAATACTAGTAGCTACCATTTTTGCACTATGAGCCAATCCCCACCCCCCCTTTTGAAAAGATTTTATCTTTGAGAGAGAGTGCCAGTGGGGGAGGGGCAGAGGGAGAGAGAATCTCTGTAAACAGGCTGTGTACTGAGCACGGAGCCTGATGGCAGGGCTTGATCTCATAATCCTGAGATCATGACCTGAGGTGAAGCTGAAACCAAGAGTCAGACACTTAACCAACTGAGCCATCTAGGCACCCCATTTTCTTTTTTTTAATTGAATATTTTATTTTTTTAAATTTTATTTATTTGACAGCACAAGTAGGCAGAGTGGCAGGAAGAGGGAGAAGCAGGCTTCCCGCTGAGCAGAGAGCCCGATGCAGGGCTGGATCCCAGGACCCTCATGGGTCCTCATGACTGAACCACCCCAGTGATCCTAAGATTTTATTTTTAAGTACTCTCTACACCCAGTGTGGGGCTCAAACTTACAACCCCAAGATCAAGAGTCACATGCTCCACCAACTGAGCCAGCCAGGTGCCCCAATGAGCCAGTTTTCTACATTAACTCCAATCTTTGAGAACTTTGTGAATTAAAGTTAATGTCCCATTTTAAAGGCTAGGAAATAGACTGATGCTGTGTGACTTGCCCAAGGCTGTACAGAAAATAGACTGATGCTGTGTGACTTGCCCAAGGCTGTAGAGCCTGGGATGCAAATGGGGACCTGCCTGGCTCCAAAGTATTTCTTTTCTCCATCTCCCTGTGGGTCTTACAATGTTCCCATTACTGGAGCCCTGTCAGTTTCTGTAATAGTATCCCGTTATGTGGCATTAAAGTATTCAGAACCACCATTTTATAGAATTCTTTTTATATTCAGAATGTGCTAGATCTTACTTCCTGCTACAGTTGCAGCATTTTCGTATACATTATTAGTTGATGGCTTTCACCCATAACCATCACCTACCCTTTTTCTCAGTTGACATTCAGTGATTACTTGTCTTTAGAGCAGAATTACCAAAAAGGTTATTCTAAAGGTGAAAAGTTATGTGTAGGCCACGTATGGTGGAGACGGGGATGCCAGGCCTGGCTGGTCACTGATACTGTGTAATTCAAAAGTAGCTTATCAATATGAGCATTTTCATTTTTTAAATGGTCCTTGAGTGCCATGGTCTTCTTTGATCTCCGTAAATCAATAAAAGGTTGGACTAGAGAAGTAGGCAAGAAGGGATACTTCTCTGTCAGTGATGACTTCTTATTTTTACTCAGAGATGCTCCAGCCACTCTTGCTTTGTGAAAGCTGGCTCTCAGGGAAACTGGCTGATGATTGTTTTCATATTGAGCCTTGTAGGAAATGCCAAAAGAATGTGGTTCTTCTGATGAAAGCAGGGGTGACCCTCAAATTAGGAACTTCTCTCCAGGATAGTTGAGAGGGGGCCTTGATTGTACTAGGTCACAGGTGGAAGTGAGTACAAAAGTACTGACTAAAATAGCAGGCCAAATTGTACTAGCACTTTCCGCATAGGGGCATCGTAAGACTGCAATTTATGTCATGTTTGATTGCTACAGAAAGATAGACTCATCTTAAGCAATTTCAGCCTAATGTACTGGAAAATTGCTTAACAGATTTTTATATTCTATTAGAAACATTTCCATATTGGTGAGATGCCACTTATTTCTTATTCTGGGCAGCAAATCTTGAGTAACAGCAGGAAGAAAGCCTCACCACAGCCTCCGTTCATCTTGTGGACCTGATTTGCGTATTCATCTAGAAAAAGAAGAAATTGCTAAATGCACACTGGTACCTCTTAGGTAACCGCAGGTCTTCATTTGGTGCTGAATTATTAGCCATTTTTCTTTTATTTTCTTTGAGTATGATTCAGAGACCAATTTACTCCCAAAGAAAATTGCTATTAAATTATATCTATTAAGTTTTTATATTAAAACATACTCTAGCAAGGGTTGACTGTCACTCTGAGCAGCTGTGCCCCTCTGAATGCCTCATGTGTTGGCATAATTTATTAACTGGCTCTATCTGAGCAGAATGGGAGTGCTGTGAAATTACTTTTGGGTTGCACTTCAGTATCTCCGGGGTCCCAGATGTTTCACTTTCTTTGTTCTTGGCTTGCCTTCATTTGGATTACAAACACAGCAGAAATAAGAATTCTCAACATCTTCAGAGAAATGTTGGGTTGGAGCAAAATCAACTACAAGAAACCATTTAAATTGAAAATCCTAAAAGAACCCAAGAATGATGTTAACACTATATAAATAGAACAGGATTAATAGGAGGCCCCACAAACAGTCAATTTCTCGGCCACAATCAATTTCTAGGGTGGCTTTTAGCTGTATATGACCTTTTTTTTTTAAGATTTTATTTATTTGTCAGAGAGAGAGAAAGACTAAGCACAAGCAGGGGGAGCTGCAGACAGAGGGAGTAACAGGCTCCCCGCTGAGCAAGGAGCCCAACATGGGACTCCATCCCAGGACCCTGGGATCATGACCTGAGCCGAAGGCAGACGCTTAACCGACTGAGCCACCCAGGCGCCCCTGTATATGACCTTCTTATAAATCCTGGGCAAAATTCCTCTGTGACATGATAGCAAATCCCAGGGTCTTGGGATTGAGTCCCGAATTGGGCTCCCTGCTCTGCAGGAAGCCTGCTTCTCCCTCTTATACTCCCCCTGCTTGTGTTCCCTCTCTCGCTGTGTCTGTCTCTGCCAAATAAATAAATAAAATCTTAAAAAAAAAAGAAAGAAAAAATGAAATTATAAGGCTCACCGTAGCATTTATTCTGAAGGGCTTACTTCAGGCAAGAATTTTCAGAGAAAGGGAAAGTCTGATTGAGAGTTAGTCTCTGGCTTCATTCCATCATATATCTGATGTCTTGCTTTCAGTTTCTTTTCCCCAGTGAGGAAAACTTAGATAAGGTTGTTATTTTACAAACTTTGCAGCTCGATTGTATGTTATTTTTTTCATAATCATACAAGTAAAATATCTTCATTAGAGACATTTTGGAAAATACAGAAAAGCATAAAAATGGAAGGCAGTCCTTCCTAGAGACCCTCAATTAATATTTTGGTGTTTTCCCTTGTTTTTCTATATAAACATTTTTTAAAACTTGGGATCATACAGGGCGCCTGGGTGGCTCAGTTGGTTAGCCGACTGCCTTTGGCTCAGGTCATGATCCCGTAGTCCCAGGATCAAGCCCCACATTAGGCTCCCGCTCAGCAGGGAGTCTGCTTCTCCCTCTGACCCTCTTCCCTCTTGTGCTCTCTCTCTCTCTCACTCTCTCTCTCAAATAAATAAATAAAATCTTTAAAAAAAATAAAACTTGGGATCGTACAAATGCATATATTGTTTTTTTTTCACTCACTATTACATCAGAGCATTTCCCAACATCATTAAATATCCTTTGATGAGGATCACCCTTGATAATGGGTGAGAACATTTTTAAAGTCCTTGATATGTATTGTCAAATCTCAGCTCCTAGCACCAGGTAAAGTACCTATTACACGGTAAGTACTCTGTAAATTATTGTTGAATGAATAAATGCCTTTCAGAAAGGTGGATCAATTCATACTCCCACCAGCAGCAGTATTTAAGAAGAGCCTTATCGTGGTCAGTCCACATCATGACAGGAATAATGATTAAAGCAGAATTTTGGTTTCTGTGATTCTGGCAATGAAATAATCCATTTACTTTAAAGAAATGGAAGTAAAAAGTTGAGGGGCCCCTGGGTGGCTCGGTTGGTTGAGCATCTGACTCGTGATTTTGGCTCAGATCATGATCTCAAGGTTGTTAGACTGGGCCCCATGGCAGCCCTTGCGCTGGGCATGGTGCCTGCTTAAGATTCTCTTTCTTCTTCTCCCTCTGTTCCTGCCCCTCCCCCTCAAAAAAATGAAAATTAAAAATAAAAAAAGAAGTAAAAAGTTGAATCATCCCTAAATGATATATGGTTGCATTTTAATAGGCTACTGCTTTTAAACATGTGGAGACAAAAATGGAATGCAGGAAGAATTCTGATTATATTAGGACTGAATCATGAAGTTCCTTGTTTCCCTTTTCACATGTCAGTCTGTCGTGTCTACTTGCCCAACAATTGCTATAAGCTCAAGATTTGGAGAGGGTATTCTTTTTCTTTTTTTTTTTTTTTTAACCTTTTTTTGGGGCGCCTCGCAGGCTCCGTCGGTAAGCACCTGCCTCCGAGGCAGGTCATGATCCCGGGG